ATAATCATCTCGCGGATACCAAACAGTTAGTTTATACCTACCAACATGACTCAACGCAGTTGTCAGTGACTTCACGGATATGTGTCATGTTTTGGTTTAGCCGCCCCTAGCTTTCTTTCAACTCACTCCTACACCACAAAACATAGCTCGATGAGGCAGTTGGTGGTTAGACATAAGCAACACATGTTCCAACCACCTCAACTGATCAAGTTTCACTACCTCATCAATCGAGTTGACATCTTTACCAAGTACTCCTTTCTTAACGACAGCAATGCCAACTCGCTTGTCCCAGGATATACGAGCAATGCTCCGAATACACCGATGATCGAATACTAATAGCTTACGAATATCCTCTACTCTTACGGGCCATGTTTCACACCCGTATAGTAGGACGGAGTGAACTGCTGCGCAGTAGACTTGTCCTTCGGTTAGCAGACGGATATCTCGCCTACGCCATGAGTGACGCAAGTTGACAAAAGCCAATCAAACCTTCTGTATCTGTGCTGAGATTTCACCAGTCACTACTAGGCCACATCAGCACTAATGAGACTGCCGAGACAAGTGAAGCAGTCATCAAACTCAACTACTTCACTTCCGATTTCTAGTTCACGTGCCGATACAAGCTAATCCTGAAGCAATATTTTGCATTTCGATGGGGACAATCGCATCCCAGACATGCTTGCATTGTTGCTTAGGGTTGTCGGAATACTGCATTTTGTCAGCGTCTTCACCAAATAGAACTATGTCATCGGCATATTCCAAGTCAACGAGCGAGTCTCCTGGTACAAGGTTCATTCCCGAAAAGTCAGACGAAGATATTGTTATTTCGAAAAGCAGATCTAGGACAAAATTAAATAACAATGGAGAAAGTGGACATCCCTGACGGACAGCACTTGAAGTAGTGAATACTGATGACAGTTCGCCATTAGCTCTCACTCGACCTGTAGTGTTCAAGTAGGGAGCTTGTACAAGGTTAATGTGTTTCTTTGGTACACATTCCAATGACAGACATTGCCATAGAACCTCACGATCAACAGAGCCAAATGCCACCTTGAAGTCCAGGAAGAGAACTATCGTCGGATACCTAAATGTGTGTATATGTTCTAGGACCTAACGTAGTGCGAATACGTGGTCTATAAATCGATGTCCAGGTCTGAATCCAGCCTGGTTTTCTCTAGTCTTCTCTTCACGAGCTCTAGTTAAGCGTATAAGCATTATCAAGGCTAACAATCTACACACTATATTAGTCAAACTGATTCGTCTGCGATTGTCACAAGAGGACTTTTGTCATTTCTTATAGACTGAGACAATCAAGGATTGAGTCCAGTCGGATGGGATTACGTCCAGATCCCAGATTCTACCTAAAATCTCAGTCAATCTAACTGGTAAAACCGGACCGCCATCCTTTAGTCTCAGGGCCTGCCGCCTTTCCCGACCGTAGCTGCTACCTTGACGTGTTGGTCAGGCTTGCCTATCGTGATGACCCAAAAGAGCTATACTGGCTGGAACATATGTTCCTGAAGGTTTTACCAGGCCAGAGTGGTCGATTGTAGAACGATGAGACTAAAAGCAGCTACCCAAGGTCTGAGGGGGAAGTCGTACTGCTGACTGCAGAGGGGTGTGACAGCAGTAAGGTGTTTCCCTCAGACAACCAGAATCTGCAGCGATGCTGCCTTCTCACAAGGAAGGAAGGGTTAGAAAAGATCGACCCTTAAAATGTCACACCTCACCCTACCTCACGGATTTCCGTCTCCGGCGGTAAGGGTGCCCACTAAGGGCTTTTAGGAGCGGAACTAATACTAAAAATACCTTAAATCAAAAGGCCGTGCGTGACCGGCCTCAAGCAGTTGTCCCTTGGACTCTGCGGTCGCAACCAGGTCTCTATGACCAACACTAATCAACCTTCCTTTTCAGGTCCCTCAAGAAACAACCTTCCACTGTGTGGTAAAAGTTAACCTGAGAAACCGAATCTTGTAAAAATTTACTCCAATTCGATTTGATTGAAAGAAAAAAGGGCCGTCTAGTCTTAAAATACACTGAAAAGCGTTTCCGGTTTCAATACTTGAAGCATAACATCCTTATTCTAGATACTTTGACAGTGATAAGGCGATATTTGCTAAACAAGATTTTATAAAGTCTTTCTTGATTGGTGTGATACTTTATCACTTCTTAAATTGCAGTGGAAAAATGTTCAGCAGTGAGTATAAACTCTGTTTAATTAAATTATTATACCTCAGCGATTACATTAACTACAGGCACGTAATGAAACTTTTCACGTCATGATACTCACGAGTAGTATGGTTTATGTGATCCGATTTCAATAGAATTCAGGAAATAGTTTCTACAAATGCGAATTGTGGAAAGGCTACAGTTATCAAGGATAACCAGCTATAACCTTTACTATCTCTTCAGAAATCGATCTTTCTTTGGTATCAGCTAACAACAACGTCTTCTTAGATTACTTCCTGAATCTGAGCCAACCGGACCGTACGAACCAGTTTGTCGATTATTTAGTTGTTGAGGGCCTAGTTTTATACCATTTGCCTAAGTTAGAAAAAATTTACATTGTTAGGTGAGTATACAGATATATTTGGATGCAAGAAGGGAATGACAAAAGATTTTTAGGGGTAACAGTCAGTAAGCCAACTAGTTACACTTCGATTCTTAAACAAAATAAAGACAATTCGTAACTGATTATCATTGAAATCGGAAATTATTCTTGAGTGGAAGAACACAATGTCTTATTGAATGCCTACAAGCAACGGCACTAGTTATATGGCTATAAATTAATAGTAAAAGGTTTATGAAGTTATTTGATAACACCGGATGTGTTATTAAAAAGACTGAGGAAGCTGTTGTGATGAAGGTATTATGATCTTAATGGAATATTTGTCACCTAAAGTATCACTATTAATAAATACGAAGACATTTTGACCTATCATATGCGTAACAAAATATTCATTTGTTTTTAATAGGTTCTTGACTCATATAAGGCAAACAGATTAACGTGAATTTCTGTTGACTTCTTAGTGAGTGTAGATACCAAAATACTAGTGTATTCACTATCTATAGCAGCAACAACTCCTAGAGTGGTGGTAAGTACTTTGATGAGATTGTTTATTTATTTCAGACACAAATCTTCGTACTAATATGTACTAATATGTATCATACCTCGACAAAACGGACTGGACTGATGTATAACTAAAAGTGAAAGTAGGTAATTTATTAAAATGGCTATGGAGGTCTAGACAGAAATGGATTTAAATCAATGCTGATGATGATACTTCAGTAACTGAAAATAATGATTTCATTCTTTTGCTAATTCTGTACCCATGAATCAGCAGGAGGGGTAGAACATGGCTTCGGTTTCGTACAATCAACCTGCTGTCTCCGGAGGACAAAAACTTGAGAATTATAGTCAAATAAGTTCAATAATCTTTGAGGTTTCATGCAGATATTATCAAGGCCTCTATAACTTTAATTGTCCCAAGAAAGTACCATTGACATAAATATGAGTTCATTCACAAGACCAATACTTTAATTATGATATCGTATTGCATATTTCAATGATAGCACTACCACCATTGTATTGTATTCAAAGTTTAATCGAAATTTACTAATCAAATATAAATATCCAACAACATTCCTTTGTACAAAGACGACAGACACAATATCACTAATTGGTGGAATTGTGGGAAAAATGACATCTCATAGGCAGCCACAGGAAATCAGGAAGCTCTAGATGCTGTGTAGTCTTCACAATAAAATCCTCAGCAGTGAGCATCAATCATCAGTCCATTCTGTAAACAATGAGGCACTTAGTGCGCTTTTTAATCAAATAAGCAACATACTTACACTGTTAATATCCACCGACAAGAACAGTCGAAAAGACGGATTGATGCTCACAAGAAATTCGGAACTAAACAGTTAAATATGATCTGCAAGAACAAAAATAGGGATTTATTCCACAGACAGTTACCCATAAAACGCTGTAACCCATCATATATATTACGTTGCCTGCAAATACAATCATTTCATTACGTGACTAAATTATGCATGAGTGCAACACAAATACAGAGGACCACTGTAGACCTGATGTCACCAAAACGATTGAACGATATGAACAAGGTGGAACGATAAAAAAGCACTAGATACAGCTTCGTTTTATCCTCACAGGATCTAGCGACAGATTCAGGAGAGCATCAATCTCGTTCATGGTACTGGAGTTGCAGTTGATTAGAGGACGAAAATTTCAAACGGGTAACAGGCCCAACTAAGAACTCCTAAGCTCTGCTTATCTTTTACTTAGTCTGGTATTATTTAGGAAAACATTGCCACACAGTTATTTACTATGTTCACCACTTTACACTGAACATGTACCAAAAAGTAATCCCAAATTAAAACCTCAGGAAAATTCAAGACAACAAATTTTTATGGTTTCGAAAGTAGTTTCAAAGCATTAGGTGAAAAAAATAGTTGAGTCAAAAAATAAGATAGTTAATATTATGATAACGAAAGTAGAAACTTTTACGTTCCAAATTGTAGTAACCAAAGGAATAAGAAAGTGAAATAAAAAATATTCAACTAGCATTAGAGATTGCGTACATATTGAAATAACTGATTTTTTAAAAATGGATGGGTGTAAACAACAAAATAATTCCAACAAGACTATACTTTTGTCAGTTTAACATCAAACAAAATACTACTACGATTGCATAGAATATACTTCTCTTTTAAGTGTTCCATGCATTCCCATAAAGATAGACACAAATACGCATACTTACATAATTGAATGGGAGAAAAACTGTCTTTGAATAATTAGATAAAAACAAAATATCAAATACTTAGTTTACACATAAACTTTGAAAATCATTAATTAAAAAAGGCGGTAATAGTCATTAGCAGCGATCACAATATAAATTCATCATCATCATCATATAAATCATATGATAGAGTATAGTATGAACATCCAAATCTCCTAGGAGAATTATGGAAACACATTAAACTATTTTCAAATCTGCAATTTGTTCATGCAATGTTGGAAAGTTCCACAATACAAGATTACCATCTCGACCGATTGAACTAAGTTCTGAAGCCATTGAACGATCACCTTTAAGAATTCGAATTTCACTGAAATTTCGAGTATGAAAAAAAAACAGTTGAATGAGTCACCATGTCCCGAAACCTATATAAACTAGATATGAAATTTAGGCGACAAGTCATCAATGTAACATCTCATATTAGATAAGACTGTAGAGAATAAGAAGCTTTTGACAAAACAAAAAGAAACAGAAGCCCCAGAAATCTGTGGCTTCTCGTCCAATTAGTTTGAAAAAAATCAATGTAAGAGTAGGCTAAAAAGACAGCTAGAGTCGCCCTAAAAGGCTAGTGGTTATTAGTCTGGGCTATGTTAGTAAATACGGATTACCTGGTTAAGAGTTCACAAGATAACTGCAATCACTGTTTAGAGACGTCAGGCGACATGGCTCAAAGCTGCTCACAGTGACGAAAACATAAACCTTTTATGCCCCGATTTTGAGTCCCAAAATTCTTTCATATGTACATTTTCACTGCCTCTCCGAACCACATCAATATTTAGTCTTTCACATCACTACTGATACTACATTATTTCGACTCCCCTGTTATTTATTTGTTGATTTTATTTCTCTGTGTTATGTAGTATGAACGCTTGGTCTGACGAATATTTGTGCTAGACCGCACGTTGATTATAACCTACACAGTGGAAATTTTAGGTTTCTAAAGCCTTAGTATCCACCTGTTACCCATTTTAAATAAAGAGGAACATTTAGACACATTCAAATGTTTTACCTGAGAGATAACTTCATGCGAAGACAGTCAGTCAAATATTAAGATTAAAGAGCAAAGCCAAACTAGCTGTCTGTATCTGTATACAGCTTAGTCTGATTGTCAAAGACCATATGGACTGATGTTACGCCATATATTCGCTACCCTTAGCTTTCTACTAACCTACTACTACACTACACAATATCGAAGTATGAGGTAGTTGGGCATGGTGACATGGCTATATGCATAACGCTCACTCAAACGTAATCTTATAATGATAATCTTATAATCTTAAAATGAAGAATACGTAACTGAACTCACTTTATACAATTCTGATGAATGGTGGGTAAACGAGAACTAGTATTATCAGCTGTGGCCATGCGATCAATATCTTGAAATTTCTTCATAGCTGTTACCTTTCCACCATAACGAGATTCACCTTTAATGTCCAACTAAGATGGGCAACAAAGAGAAATTAGATAAATACAAATAGTATCATGAACAACGAATATAAAAATTTATGGGAAAAATATTAATTATATTCCCATCACCAATCATCATTCATTCTATAGTTCACGCTATTAAAATAAAATTGCTCAATTACCGGTTTACTCAGTCATTTTTGGATTATTATAGTCAACAATATCATTTACAGAACACAATCTAAGCACGATGTAAACATCTGATATATTCATACAATAAAATCAATTACCAGGTTAAGGTTTTATTCAAGATGTGCATTAATCAATATCTTATTGACTTGTAATCGTACTTAAAAATGCAAACAGTCGATCACATTTCCAAGTATTCGGTAGAAACTCATCTTACCTGATTATTGTTTTTATATCTAAATAGTAGAAATTTTAATCACTCATACAATTAATAAAGCTTTTTCCGAAAACAAATAAAGCAAAGTATTAAATCTCTACTTGTTCCCTTCTACAAAGTTTATCTACAGAAAAGAATGGGTTGTTTCAGAACATAATACTCTAGGTGCAGTAGACGAGAAAATATCTTTTCGATAAATTTTAATGATTTAGAGAAAGAATGTTTGGCGAATAGTGACAATAACGGTTTGCATTTGTGTACATGTACTCATGTGAGATGTTCCATGCATTTGGAACATCGAATACCGAATTCGATAGTATCTGCAACTTAAACTCAGAAAAATATTGTGCTATACGGTAGCCAAATATTATAAATATCCAAAAACTAGTGCAATCAGATAAAATTACTGCTTTGACCTGAATTTCCAAGATAAAAACACAGTCATTACATTGACATGAGTGAAATTGCGTTATATATTATGGGTTTAGTTGCTGAATATTTTGAGTTAGATTTCGATAAGACATTAGCACAATCCAACTAAAAAACAAGTTACAGTATCATAACCATCTACTTAAATTATACAACCGATCTACATACTGAGGATGTGATTCTAAGAGCCGAATAAATTCAAAAAAGTTATATTGATTGAGCAAATCACTTTAATAAATAGATCCCGATCAAATACAATACTTCGTGCTCACAATCTAATTACTGAAAAGTACTAATAGGATAAAATTTAGTTACGTTGTTGTACAAGACCATAACTGAATAAAACAATAGTACATAACTAAACACAGTCAAACGAAACGATTTGTACTTAATGTATTTAGATGAATGGACAGAGAGGACCAACCCTTCCGCATTAAACCAAAATACAACAATGTATTAAAATATGAATGGATATTTTTCCGTAGATCATACATATTATTTAAAAGTAGTTGGTCGTTTAGGTCATTTTACAACACAGGACTTAGCAGAGATATATTACCAGTACAAGTTACCACAATACCCACTAACACAATGAGAGGAAATAAACAAAGGCTATGCATCCGAAAGTAACAGAACTAAACCGACAGTTATAATGAACAGCAAATTATACATGAAAATGATGCACACATTTTTTCATAAAGTATCACATATTTAACAATCTAATCAGCGTACCTGGTGAACAAAACTGATCGATTGATTAGTATATTTGAATAGCATAGGACAACAATCGTAACCACCTGTTACAAAAGTTGATGGTCCAATCCAAATACAACTGACAAAAGGTAAGAAATCAGTTCGTAAACGTGTAATAGTAGGTGTGGTACCAGTACTTGCATCAGCTACAAAAATTGTTGAATTATGTTTAGTCCATGCTAATTTATTTCCATCTGCTGAAAATGAAACGCTCAGGACCCAACCACCTAAAATGTGAACGTATATATATTTCTTGGAACTTACATAGAAAATGTGAGCATCAATAAAAGTGAAAAAACCAAAAACATTATTTTGCCTAGTTATAAGCAGAAGAAAGGAAGCGACAATAAATGTATGTTTGAGTTGAAGACGTGAAATCCTCAGATACAACTTAGAGGAAGAAAATCAATAGTGACTCAACGTATATATAAAGTCAACCTGCAACACATACTTGTAACATTAATTGATAGACTTCAAGTGTATTTTCACTATCATTTGCAATTAGTGGCAATCACTTATTTTGCACAACGGGCAACTGCAACAGAATAATTTTCCAAGACTTAAATTATCAAAAAATTGAACAATTGTGAAGTTATGTAATTAGTTTAAAGAATGTCATAACATTGACTGTGAATACTGCATATATATAGACACATCATAGTTCTTCAGAAATTTTATGATCAGATTTTCAAAAGTACGTAAGCATGAGCGTAAGCATGTATACTGGAAACTACAGTCAAAATAATGTTGAATTTATTTAAAACATAAGTTATAGTTCAATAAGACATTAAAAAATATGCTTTACGAGCGAAGTGGTAATATTGAGAGGAAATAAGGGAGAGAAGGATAGTAGGATCAATAAATGGTTTGGGAGGAATATTGTTTAGTATCGTACAATTAAAATTTTAGACTAAAAAGTCGAATTCCAGTTAACGGGGTTCATCTCACTTTTCTAAAACATCTAACAGAAGTAAAGCCGTCCTCCATTTTCAGTCATATTTAAATACATCAAGAGCTACTCAGTTAGATCTGTAGAACTTGAATTGGAAAGTGATTATGGACCGAAAGATGACATTCTTATACAGATAACTTTTATATCAGTGTCATGTCATAAACTGACCACTCTCCAGCCTTGTACACCCAGTTCCAATTTTTCCAAATAAACGGTGTCAAAATCAAGTGGATAACATGTATAAGTTACGAAAATGAATGTTTCAAGATGGTTAAACCAACTGAATTATTCTCACTGGATCTGAATAAAGATTACCGAACATTGATATTACTAACATGTTGTCAGTAAATACGAGCAATTTTCTGGAGACAAAGAATACCAAATAATCGCTGGAAACCTTCAGTTATGAGGCAAACTTTCACAAACATAAAGAGTCAAAACATTCACCCTATACGCCCAAACTAGTATCGAGAAGGCGCCAAAAGATTGCTCAAATTGGTATAAGCCATTTTGACTTTCACTTTAGACAGATTGATTTGATTTGTCACTCAACCACGCTTTCTAATACCAGTACCCAGACACACAATTTTCGACTACTAACAGGTTAACCTGCAAATAAGGAGTGCAGCATAGCCTCCTTTCATCCATCCAGCAGTTTGCATCTTAAAGATGCACAGCACATGATGTATGCATGTGAAGCAGTATTTCGAGGAGCGAAGACATCCTCGGCTCCCTCAAGCTACAAAAATTAAATCAAGGCTTAATGTCAAAGTGCTCCGGGGCTTTATTTTTACGAAAAACGAGTTTCAAACTTGGAAACTACGGTAAAATAAAGACTTTTTACATCCTTATTATGGTCTAGTTTTCTAGACAGTAAGTTTACGACAATATTTTTAGATGAAATTCAGACGGAAGGTAGGAAATAAATTTCGTACACTATATAACTAATAATTAGTGGCAAGCAACTTTGATGTTATCATGCATTAAACAATATTTCCCTAACATGTATGCAAAATATCTAATTGTATTTGACGTGATGTATGTTCACTAAGGATAACAAGTAAAACCATATAGACTCTTAGAGTTTTGAATTTTGCCTCAGTTGTAATAACCTATTCACAAACATCTCTATTAGGCGATAGAAAGCACGTAAATGATTAACTCTAAGATCAATGACAAATATGTTTCGAAGAAATAAAAATGAGGCGTAATCTACCCCTAAATAGTTCTATACCTATATACCTATCGATTTCTTCATCTAACCAGCACGAAAAAGTTCTAACTAAATTCTAATTAAAAATAGATCATTTTGTATGAGGTTAAGAAGGGTTGAACTCTGCCTTTAGAACCTTCGGGGCTACTGCCGGTCTTAAGCCCGGATAAAGGAGGGGTTTTGGTATGAAGTTAGCGACCCCAACCAACCAAAAAACGCTAACCAGAAATAATAATTCAAACCATTTTATGACGTTTCGTGATGAAAGCCGAGTTCCCTCGGAAGTCACAGGGCTGATGCCTCTTCTGACAACCAGAGCAACCATTCTTTTAGGTACATGGAACGTCCGTACATTGTGGGAGACTGGAAGACTATTTCAATTTGCGGCATGAATGAAAAGATACAACCTCGAGGTGCTCGGCATCAGTGAAACGCATTGGACACAGACAGGACAACTGAGACTAGCTTCAGGGGAACTGCTGTAATACTCTGGTCATGAACAGGAAAATGCAGTCAGTCAGTAAGATGCAACGTAGAACATCGTACGTAAGTACATCAGTTCATGTTGCCATACCACATTAGCACAGAGATGCAATTGCCAATTCAAATCCATTAGAGTAGTAGAGGTATTAAAGGTATTAGAAGTAATCGGAGAGGTTAGGATTAGAAGATATTATTCAAGAAGTATGATTCAGTGAGAAAAGTTTAGAAAGTATAAACTAGAGGTGTTGAAGAATCCAGAAGATTAGGATTTGAGAGAACACAAAGAATAAATGCACCGGCGCCATTGCGAACGATTCTGAGCCATGTCATTCAAGGTCTCTAACCATCGATTATTATCATCTCGCGGACCCCAACCAGGTAGTCGACAATTACCGACATGGCTAAGTCCACTCGTCAATGACTTCATGGATTTATGCCATGTTTTGGTTTGACCGCCCCTAACTTTCTTCCAACCTATTCCTACACTACAAAACAAAGCTCGACGAGGCAGTCGGTGGTTAGGCATACGCAGCATATGCCCCAACCACATCAGCTGATGAGGTTTCAGCACTTCATCTATTGATCTGCCATTCTTACCTAGCACCCGTCTCCTAATAACAGCGTTGCTCACTCGGCTATCCCAGGATATACGATCTATGGTTCGAAGACAACTATGATCGAAAACCAATAACCTACGAATATCTTCTACTCTCACTGGCCATGTTTCACAGCCATAAAGGAAGACGGAGCGAACTACTGCACAGTACACTCGTCCTTTAGTCAGCAAAAGGATATCTCGCCTACGCCATAAGTGACGCAGGTCGGCAAAAGCCAATCCAGCCTTCTGTATCCGAGCTCAGATTTCGTCAGTCACCAGGCCGTCAGCACTGATGAGACTCCCAAGATAAGTGAAGCGGCCGACACGCTCAACTACTTCACTCCCTATCACTAGTTCAGGTGCCGATGCAACCCAGTCTTGAAGCAACATTTTGCATTTCGAGGGGGAAAACCGCATCCCGAATATGCTTGCATTGTTGCTTAGGGTAGTCAGAAGACTCTGCATTTTGTCAGCGTCTTCACCAAGTAGGACAATGTCATCGGCATATTCTAAGTCAATAAGCGAGCCACCTGGTAGAAGGTCTACTCCTGAAAATTCAGACGAGGATAAGGTTATTTCTAGGAGCATGTCTATGATAAAATTAAACAAGAATGGAGAAAGTGGACATCCCTGACGGACAGCACTTGAAGTGAAGAATTCCGTTGACAGTTCGCCATAAGCTCTCAGTGGTGTTCGAGTAGAAAGCTTGTATAAGGTTAATGAACTTCTTTGGTACACCTTTCAATGACAGACACTGCCACAGAACCTCACGATCCACTGAGTCAAATGCCGCTTTGAGGTCCAGGAAAACAACTATTGTAGGACGCCTAAATGTGTGTCTGTGTTCCAGGACCTGTCGTAGTGTGAAGATGTGGTCTATACAGCCACGTCCAGGTCGAAAACCAGGCTGGTTTTCTCTAGTCTTCTCTTCATGAGCTATCGTTAAGCGTCGAAGTATTGTTGAGGCCAATATTTTAGATACTATATTAGTTAGACTTATTCCCCTGTGATTGTCACAAGAAGACTTCTGTCCTTTCTTATAGACTGAGATAATCAAGGATTGAGTCCAGTAGGATGGGATTACGTCCAGTCTCCAGATTCTACCTAAGATCTCAGTCAACCTAGCTGCTAAAACTGGACCACCATCCTTAAATATCTCAGGGGTAAGTCTATCAGGACCTACAGCTCGCCCTCGCTTCAGACTTGCTAACGCTTTCTCAACTTCATAAAGACTAGGGGGACTTAAGTCGATTTGCCATTCACGATGACTGGAGATCATGGGTGACCGAAGAGTGGCTCGAGGCCAGTTGAACTGATCCTTAAAGTGTTCTGCCCATCGATCCAGTCTCCTGCATTGAGAATGGATAATAAGACCATCCTTTTCTGAAATAGTCTCACTCACACTTGGGTTCCTAATACCAGTTTCCTTGATGAGTCTAATTAGATGCCTACTGTTGCCTATCGCCGCTGCCTTTTCCATCGCTTTTGCTTTCGCCACCCACCACTGTTTGCGGTCGTTACGTAGCTGCATCGACGGCACGAAATTCTAAAGTCCTAGCTAATGATATCTGTTGCCCTATTTGACACAATGTCCTTACATTAAATGCTCCAACATGTAGTCTAGAGCGGGGTTTAAGGAGACCAGGAACGACGTTTCGCGAACTCACATCGTTTGCATTAGCTGTGCACTGTGATAAATGAATGTGAGAAGAGTTAGTCGTGGAGATAGGAGAGGTGTGTGTTGGTGTAGGAAGGATTTGATTTCGACTAATTTGGTCTCTCGTGCTGTTATGGGTATGAGAGCGGTTGTCAATTCCCGGCTGCCCACACTGTGGAAGGTTGTTTCTTGAGGGACCTGAAAAGGAAGATAGATTAGTGTTGGTCTTGGAGACCTGGGAGCGTGACCGCAGAGTCCAAGGGACAACTGCTTGGGGCCGGTCACACACGGCCTTTTTATGAAAGGACTTTTGAATATTAGCTCCGTTCTTAAAGGCCCTTAGTGGGCACCCTTACCCAAGGAGACGGAAATCCGTGAGGTAGGAGAGGTGTGACATTTCTAGGGCCGACCTTTTCTAACCCTTCCTTCCTTGTGAGAAGGCAGCATCGCTGCAGATGCTGGTTATCCGAGGGAAACGCCTTACTGCTGTCACACCCCTCTGCAGTCAGCAGTACGACTTCGCTCCCAGACCTTGAGTAGCTGGTTTTAGTCTCATCGTTCTCCAATCGACCTGCATGGCCTGGTAGGACCTACAGGAACATACGCTCCAGCCAATATAGCTCGGCTGGGTAATCACGATAGGCTGCCAGGCCAGCACGTCAAGGTAGCAGCTACGGTCGGGTACAGGAAAATGCTTCACATACACAAGGAGATGCACTGATGATGTCCAAACAAGCACAAAGGCACTGATGGGATGGGGATCTAATGGACCCAGGATCATTAAAGCATCCTTCAAAACAAAGAAAGAGGACATTACAATGAACGTCATCCAATGCTATGCACCTACCAACGATTACAATGACGACGATAAAGATCAATTGTACGAAAGGCTGCAGTCAATCGTCGACAGATGCTCACCAAAGGATTCCACCATTCTAATGGGAGACCTAAATGCCAAGATTTGCATTGACAACACTGGATATGAAGACATCATGGGACAACATGGACTGGGAGAAAGGAACGAAAACGGTCAGACATTTGCAAACCTAAGTGTCTTTAACAAACTGGTCATCGGCGGCACAATATTCCCACACGAATGCATACACAGAGTCACATGGATTTCACTGGATCACACTACTCAGAACCAAATCGACCTTGCCTGTATCAACAAAAAGTTCAGAAGGACCATAGAGGATGTGAGAACCAAGAGAGGAGCTGACATAGCTTCAGAGCAGCACTTGCTGGTCGCTAAAATGAAACCGAAACTCAAGAAACACTGGACAACGGGGCAGACAACATCACACAAGTTTAATACAGCCTTTCTTTGGGATACCGTAAAACTCAACGAATTCAAGATACGCCCCAGCAAAAGGTTCCAGGATTTGCAGTATCTAACCAATGGAGAGGAAGCAACCTTGGAGCAAAATTGGAACGGGATGAAAGAGGAAATCACTTCAACATGTGGGGAGGTTCTGGGTCACAAGAACCACCATCACAAAGAATGGATCTCTGTTGGTACTTTTAAAGATATTGAAGAAAAGAGGAACAAAGCAACAGGAACAAACAACATTCCAGCAGAGGCAACGAAAGCAGACTTGGAAGCAACTGCAAAAATATTTCACATTCTCTTCAACAAGATTTGGGATGAGGAACAAGTACCATCAGACTGGTAACAATCTCACCAAGTGTGAGAACTACACAGGCATCACTCATCCTACATTACCAGGCAAAACCATTTACAGGGTATTGTTAAACAGAATTAGGGACTTCATAATCGCACAACTTCGAGATCAACAGGCTGCATTTCGTAAAGATCGATCGTGTACCGACTAAATAGCAACATCACGGATTATTGTGGAACAATCAAGTGAATGGAACTCGTCACTCACTATAAATCAACTTTAACGACTACGAGAAAGCATTCGATAGCGTGGACAAGACAACACTATGGAGGCTTCTTCGACACTCTGCGAAGATAGTCAACATCATACAGAATTCTTATGATGGATATACTGCAAAATCGTGCACGGAGCACTGATGACATCCTCGTTCGAGGTGAAGACCGGTGTCAAGCAACGTTGCTTACTCTCACCCTTTCTCTTTCTCCTGGTGATTGACTGGATTATGAAGACGTTAAAGTCTGGATGGAAGCACGGTTTGCAGTGGACAGCTAGGACGACCTGCACTTCGCAGATGAACTGGCTCTTCTAACGCACACTCAACAACAAATGCAAGAGAAGACGACCAGTGTAGCAGCAGCCTCTGCAGTAACAGCTCTCAACATACAAAAATGAAAAGCAAGTTTCTCCGATACAACACAACATGCACCAACCAAATCACACTTAAAGGACACGCCTTGGAGGATGTAAAAGCCTTTACATATCTAGAAGCATCAATGGTGAACAAGGTGGATTTGACGCATATGTGAAGGCGCACATCGGAAAATCAAGGGAAGCCTTTCTATAATTGAAAAAATATCGGGAACTCAAAATCAGGATTTCCAATACAATCGTCAAGACAGTTCTACTGTATGGAGCGGAAACTTGGAGAAATACCAAAGCCATCATCCAGATGATACAAGTATTTATGAACAGTTGTCTACGCAAAATACTTCGGATTCGTTTGCCAGACACTGTCAGCAACAACCCACTGTGGGAGAGAACAAACCATATTCCATCGGTGAAGGATATCAGGAAGCGGTGGAAATGGATAGGACACACTGAGTAAAGCATCCAACTGCGTCACAAGAGAGGCCATCACACGGACACTTAAAGCTGCCTTGGGATGAGCATCATTCATATGGCTGGTCAACTGTTTTGTTCACTAGGTATCTGAAAATAAAGTTGGGTTAATGGTCATATGGACCTGAAAATATGACCTCAGATTTTAGAAAACAACTGCCTCTGGTCGACTGCAGTCGATCCTTTATTTAGTTTGAGACTTTAGACGAAGGCTTATTGACGGGGGCAGAAATCAGTGGGGTAATGTGAGGTGTGATATCTTCAGGGTCGAACTCGTTTAACCCCTCCATTCTGTCGCGGATAGGTAGCATGACTGCAGATACTGATTGTCCACATTAAGTACCTTACTGCTGTTACATCTCTCTTCAGTCAAAAGTACGGCTGTGCTCCCGGGTCTCAAATCGCTGTCTCGATCTAAATGTTGCCTAACCTACTTGCCTGTCATAGGAGCTACCCACCCGATATAGCCCAGTTAAGTCGTCAGGACAGATAAGCCTGACCACCACGTCCAGTTATAAGCTACGACCATTTATGTGCTGTGATAAAGTAAAAAATATTCGGCTAGCATACTATGCCTAGTCGGCACGATAAAAGTTTTCGTCTATTTGCTTGTGTAATAACAAGCCTATATGTTTGAGTAATAACTGATTTTGTTCCCATACCAGAACTGAACATGTTGAAAGCAAGGAAAGTAATGTTTGTGGTAATGTACTATGTAGTGTTTTTCCATTGAATTTATTAATGGTCGCTTGCTCTGTCACACACTTAGAAAAAATAGAAGATACATGTCTAATATAAGCCAGCAGTTTGGAACTTAAGCTTATGAAGCCCGCCAAGTAACCGGGTCTCTAATACTTATAACTGCATAAAACTACCAATTTAACCAGATAACAGAGCGTGAGACAACATGACTGGAGTTGGATCTTAGACATGCCGGTAGACGTGTGTGCAGGTGATAGCTGGTGCTTTCATTGTTGTTTTACTCTCCAGGCCTTTCGAATTAATCTAAGGCATCCACATCGGTTAAATAATTACTACCAGTGTACATAGTCTCCAAATATATTGAAATGGCACTCACCTTCACCATCCGAATAATCAAATAACATGCTCCCCAAAGGACTGTGCTTGCCCCAAACTGATTCCGAAGGGCCAGAGTTCGTGAAGGCCGAAAATATTCGCGTGTGAAAATCGCTTGACCCACAAGCTAAAAGAACATTGTTGGGATGCCAATCGACACATGTCACGGTAGATCGTATAGGCTTTTTTATTTTTTTGCCAATCCACCAGTCACTTTCTTCGTCAAACCAACAAACTGCCAAAAGTTTGGAACCACTACCAACAGCAAAACGGTCTTCAAGTGGAGACCATTTTACACATACTGCAGCTCTATCAATCTGAAAAATAAATGTGATGGAATTGTAAAAATTGGTAACCACAAAGTACCATGAGCAGAACCAGTGTTGGTTTCCACTTGTTATCAGACTGCTTATTCCATACGTAGGCATTACGATCAGCAGAACATGAAACAATTCTATTCGTTTTTGGTGCCCAGTCTATACTTGTAACCAAGGCACTATGTTCGCGTAGGACATCGATCACTTGGTACCTCCCACTGGGTGATTCTGGAACGCTTAGTAAATAAACATCACTAGTATTGACGGAAAGAGCAAGCTCTGTACCATCTCTATTGAAAGCATGACTAACGAGCGAGTCAGTCCCTAGTGTATGTGAAATTGCCATTGCTAGTGTCAGAGATGCTCAAACTTCCCTCTCCTATATCCAATATCCAATATCTTTTCAACGAGCTAGTATAAACCAGTTGGTTTCTTTGCACTTGATTCTCATCCATACGTTACGGTTCCAGGTGCTTAATAGTACCCAGTGAATGGGGGTCCTAGCCACTCGACTGTCTAAGTCTAGTCAGTTGGCAGCTGGTTGTGAGTTTGCATGTCTCGGGATTTGAATGAAAACGTTTGTTTCAGAGCAGTAGGGTTTCTGGATACTAGCAGCCGTCACATTACCAGACGTGAGATCAGTTAGCTGCAATGTGGAGAGCAATTAGGATATTAAGGATAAAATTCTAATGCTAATATGAATAAAATTTCAGAACTGAGTAATATATAGATGAATTTAGTTTGTTAATTGGTAGTGAAGATTGTGAGAGAGAACTGAAGTGTAAGCAAGGCAGAGGAAACAGAGATAATAGGTGAGATAGATTAATACAGTGATCTGAGGAGATGACAACGATAAAAACTACTAGGTCTCAAGATACACATCAGGTACAGCTTGTCCAAGAGTGAGATAATAATCCACATGTGAGCACGTGATTTTCAAGAATCTTCTTAAAGCAGTCCACTGAGGCGGCTGTGGTCACCTCGGCTGGGAGAGCATTCCAAGTTGCGACGACTCGCAATGAGAAAAAGTGTGTACGAATCTGAGTATTCGCTCTTTGATGTGCAATCTTTCGAGGATTGCCTCGAGGGGAGTGGTGGTGATGCATCGGTAAGATGCTCACATTGGGATGGTTTGGCGTGTTTCATATGGTGTACGCCATAATCATATCGCTTCTCATTCTCCTGTAGCTCAGTGGAAACAATCCCATGAGCTGGAGTATATCGTGGTAGGGTTTATTTTTCAACCCTAGCACCCATTTGGTTGCTCGTCTCTGCACTCGATCTAAAAGATTTATGTCTCTTTTAAGCAGAGGGGTGCAATGACACTGTGAACTGCATAGTGTGGGCGCGTGTACGTCTTAAATAGGGTTAAAAATAATTTCGGGGTGATAGCACCAAGTTGTCCTCGCATAAAGTGAAGAGTCGCATTTGACTTGACTGCATCCCCTACATATTTTGGACTCGTGTGGAGGCTTTCTATGGTTATTAAACCGAGATCGCGCTTTGGGGAAACATTATTGAGCGGACTTTCATTGAGGGTGTGGATCGTTTGCTTCGTGTGAGGCAGGAGATGCATGACGTGGCACTTTGGTTGGTTGAGTTTTAAGCCGTTTTTCACTGCCCATTTCTCAATAGATGTAAGGTCCTTTTGAAGCTCAGTCGAATCCTCTTCGCTTCTAATGGACCTCCAGATCTTCGCATCGTCTGCGTAGATCAATGCCGGTGGGCTAACTAAACCTAACAGGTCGTTATTAAATATCAGGAAGAGATGTGGGCCTAGGATGGTTCCCTGTGAAACTCCCGATGTGGATACTCGCCAGCTCGCGTGCACTCTGTTTACCTTGGTGCGAAACTTTCTATTCTCAAGGTAGTTTCTGAGCCAAGATAGGCGTGTGTCTTTGAAGCACATCTCCACAACTTTTTCGATTAGGTGTGTGTGGTGTACTGTATCAAAGGCTTTTGCAAAGTCGAGAAATATTACGTGCACCGGTATTTTATGGTCCAAACAGGATGTTCAACTGTCGCATGTAATGAGAAGTTTAGATAAACACGACCTGCCTTTCCGAAACCCGTGTTGAGCTTCATGGAGTATTTTATTCTTATCCATGTACTCCCTCATTTTTTCGTCCACTAGCGCTTCTATGACCATAATACTGGTAGTAGTGCAACTGGTCTGTAACAGGCTCGGCCCTTTCTATCTCCTCCTTTGAAGATTGGAAAGAGGGTAGCTTGTTTCCATTCAGCTGGGATTTTGTGTGACTCCAGTGAATGCCTGAACAGGTGACATGTCGGTGAACAGAGGACTTCTGCACATTGTTGCAAGACTATGTGGCGAATTTTATCACAACCTGGTGACTTACCTGAGCGTAAGGATTTTAGTTTCTTTAGTACTAAGTCAGGAGTGATAAGGATGTTCCCTAATCCGTCAGCTGGCAGTGGACTGGCGTAGTTCTCTAAACATGTGAGTGCATGGTTTAACTGTTCAGTAAAGTTAGTGTTGAAGATCTCGGCCATCTCTAGGTTGGTGAGGTCTATCCCGTTTGGTCCTTTGAGAGAACACAACCCTTGACTAGTAGGTTTTCTTTTGGACATGAACCTAAACAGATGCTTCGGATTTGCCTCTATTTTGGCAGCTAGCTTCATCTGAAATTGTCTCCTGTCACTTCGAACTTGGGCATTGCATCTGTTTCTCAATTGCACGTACGAACTTCGATCGGAATCCTTCAAGTAGACCTTCCACTTGTGCCAGGCTCTTCTCTTCGCCTGTAGCGAGCGTTCAGTGCATTGTGATGTGACTGAGGTACATTGTCTACGACAGCGTTTTGGATGATATTTCTCACTGTTTGCCAGTGATCATCTACTGTCAGCCTCCACCACTCCCGTGGCCATGGGGCATGTAGGAGGATCTCTCCCTTGCGTATTTAGTTTGTCCTATTGTAGCAAAAGTAGGGCTCGTTATCATCCTGTGTGAGTGTTTCGTTTATGACCATGTTAAACAAGACTGTGCCATGGTCACTACTTCCTCTTGGTGCGCGGACGTTAACATCCTCAACCAGGAGCTGGTCATTTGTTAATAGATAATCCAGGTTTGAGGACTTTCCTTCCTCAGTCCATCCAGTGGCACTGCATACGTGCTCAGCCAGCCCAGAGCTTCTAATGGCTGTACCAAGTTGTCTTTGGGACCAACCAGTGGGAGTTATACTATGATTGCTGAGATTTAGAGATGGGGTATTGAAATCTCCAGCTAAGATCATTTGCTCAAACCCCAGGAATGGCAGTTGCAGTATTACATCGATCAGTTTGCTTTTCTGTGCCTTAGTACCCGAAGGAGGTCGGTAGATCTCTCCAATCAAGTATTTCGTGCCATTAGTGTGGAAACAACACCAACATGATCCTGTCACCTCAATTGGTTGGGTTTCGTATAGTCGCTCTGCTTATAAGGGGCTATTTATATATATAGCCGCTCCAACTCCAGTTTGGTGTACCCTATCACTTCGGAAGAGTGTCATGCCTGGCAAGCTCACTTGTTCGTTCTCAATGTCAGGGGATAGCCATGTTTCAGTTAGGATTATGATCTTTAGACCCGTCTGAGAGCACGTATTCCTGATTTCTAACAGCTTACTCCTTAGTCCTCTTACGTTGCTATAGAGTCACTTGGTGGTTTGTCTCAGATTATGGTGCACTTCTGCAGCAGCAGCAGCCGTGGTCGAATTTTCTACGGGAACTGGCTTCTGCAGGTTTTGTGCCTGTGAGTTTGAAAGAAAACGTTTGTTTCAGGGCAGTAGGGTTTCTAGATACCAGAACACTAATGTTTCAGAAACAAATAGATGAATGACTAGACAAACAAATTCATTAATTGGTTATAAAGATAGCGCGAGAAGACCGAACTGTGAGGATAAAAGGGAAACCAGAGTTGATAACAATCTAGATACATTGGTAGGATGCTTGCTTCTGGATGTCTTAGCGTTCTTAATTTGTTCTCTACCGTCAAATATCCTATAAAAACTCAGCAAAATTATTTCCAAGTTTTGGAGATTCTTTTCGTGAAATTCAGTCACTTTTCAAAGTCCAGTATCCAATATAAGTAAGACGCAACTTGTAACACTGCGATATGTCCGGTTTGACGTATATGTTAGGACTCAGGACAGTACTTCTTCATAACCTACTAATATTTCTCATTACCCATTAAATGTATCTAGGTAAGAACCTAGATACATTAGTGATCCAATGTTACCAGAGGCGAAAGCTCTTTTCCATCCCGTGCAGAAACGTTTGACTAACACAATTCAAATATTTGTTGCACATGCTTTTCTAGGAAGGGTTGTATATTCCTTGTAGTGACTGCTTAGGTAGACAAAAAATGAGTCACGCGATTAATGAACAAATTCAGTGATGAGAGTTACAGGAGAATACAAGACGAACCTATGAATGTATGAGACATGCTAATTAGTTCCTGTAAAACCAATGGAAGTTTCATTCTCGGCACTCAAAAACTCCCTACATGGAAGGACTGATATTAAGCATCGAATGAAGTAGCTAATTCCCGGATGAGATCATAAATATTTCTCGCCGACGGGGGCAGTTTGTAGTACTCTCCAAAACCTGACAACCACCCTCTCATCGACACATCTTTACAGGAGGGTTAGTTAATACGTAATCATCCACCACTTTTCGTCTTCTTTATCGTTGATATCGTTACTGTTACAAACATGCGTGGTACTATCATTAGCAAATTTCTGGTCTCCTCGTCCATCGTCACCCACATACATCTGTTATTTTTAGACCTTCGTTTGTCCAAGGTGCTTGCGTGGTGGATTCACTGACCCATTCTGCCAACTATCTTCTTCTCATTACTCTAAATTCTTATTCTGTCTTTTTTCACACTGTACTTAACCAACCTTTTTTCGATATTTGTATAGCTACTCAGCCCTGCAACCGCAAGTCCCCAAGCCGAACGTAGTTATTCATGCTCAATAAAAATTATATTAAAATCCACAAGGGTTAATGCAGATAAATGGTGAATCCACCCACATTGAATGATAACGAGAACCCAGAAGCGTACCGTTACATGAAGCACGGGGGAGTAGACCAGTTTATTTCCATAGGCCCATCGTTAAGATGTTGGATATTGAACAAGAGGGAGATTTGGTGTGTGCGTTTCTGTATCAAGCAGAATGGTACTTCAAATTATTTGTGTAGGTACCCTAGTTTTGATGGAAAAATCTACAAGTAGTGTTGATCCTAATCTATTCTATAAACAGTAACTTTCAACTGGCACCTTGTCATATATATTACTAGTCTGCTCGAGTGATCAGTAGATTATTAACAAGCTTGTATAATTTTTTTATTCTTCTTACTTGACAAATTTTAACATATTTTACAAAGTGGCTTTATTTTGATGAAGACGAGGATTCAAAATTTCTGACAATGGATAAAGAAAATACGAGCACATTTAATAAATTGCCGCAAATGGATTGTTTAGAAAAATTAGCTGTTTCTCTTCCGTCAGCGACGTATGGCTTAACTCCGTGTGGTGAAAATATGGAGTTCGATTCACGCTTTTTAAATAAGTTTCAGCCGGGAAGGAAGGGATTTGGTATGATTAAGTCGTCGCGTACTCTTTCTGAACCTACTCTCCCGACAACTAAATCATCAAAAAGCATGACAACACCCAATTTCGTATCTCCTACGTTCGCAAGGTATATGCCTTATCTTTTGTCATCTCTCAGCGACACTTCAGAATCGTCGACAACGATGTCTTCTATCTCTGTGTCAAACTTAAGCGATGCATCCAGTAGTGTACGACTTCCACTGTCTCCAAGTCAACTCTCTTTACCAGAACCTCCAGATGGAGGCTGGGGTTGGGTTGTTGTAGTCGCCACATTTTTTGTTCATATGATAACCGATGGGGTAATAGTATCGTTCGGTGTTTTGATTGAATCTCTCGTTGAAGAATTCCAAAATTCAATCAGTGCTACTTCATGGATTGGATCATTTTCGTATGGTATCCCTGCCCTCGCCGCTCCTTTGTCTTCGTTGCTGCTTAACCGCTTTGGATGTCGAATAACATGCATGGTTGGTGGGTTGATAAGTGGTCTAGGATGTTTTGCTGGTGCCTTCACTAATTCGATCATATCAATGGTCTTCTCTTTTGGTATCTTATCTGGTCTGGGTGCGAGTTTGTGCATCACTTCAGCTCTTGTTGTTGTTTCAGTGTATTTTGATGACAGAAGAGCTACAGCTACTGGCTTGTCTATTGCAGGTACAGGTGTTGGTGCACTTGTATTTGCTCCGATGGTAGATATGCTGCTGAATATTTATACTTGGCGAGGGGCTATGATTATATTGTCTGGGTTTTTCCTAAACATGATAGTATGTGGTGCTCTAATGCGTCCTGTAGAAACTGACGTCGAGAAACGACACAGACAACGTCTTGCGTGGCTAGAACACTTAGCTCGCGAGTCGGGATTACCGCCTTTTGAAAGTGCAGACTACTTGGATAAAGATGTGCTTGGACGGATTAAGCTACTACGTGACTACATGCTAGCTCCACGCAGAGTTACAATGAGTTATTTGCATTCGACAACTGAGCTAAGTGGAAAGCTGATCTCTGGTGCGCGTGCATATCCTCCATCCGTTGGAAATCGTTTTGAAGTTCTGGAAAACAAGGAGGTTTTATCCAAAGATCCCCGTCGAATCCCTCTAGTCCATTCCAATGTTAAACCAATAAATAAAAAGACCCTGCGAGTCCAAGATCAGGATGTATGGAAAGACAATGCGCTCACATTTAAATCTCGAAATAATGAGTCAGGGAACAAGAAAGTGTGTAGCTTCAAGCTCCAGTGTCCAGAAGTTGAACCCGATGGGATTTCGTTCTCGCATTTAATTCCTGTTGAAAACTTTGACTGCATTTCAAAAGATGAAAACCATGAGGCAAATAATAGACATGGAATTTACAGTGTTGATGGAAGTCCAAACGCTGCCGATAACTTTATTTCGTGCAACCACAAAAAAACTGTTTCTTCAAAGAAGGATGAAAAATATGTTTTAAATCCATTTCGTCGAGACAACCAGATGTACATGAACAGTGACTGCTGCGAAACCAGTTCCCTTAAGCTTGCATACAACACCTCACATAATTATGATGAGAGTGACATTCTTCGACGTTCTTCATCTAGTCAGCTTGAATATTATCGCTCTGGGCACCAGAGTGCAGTGAGTTTGCCTGATCTTCATCACATCAGGAGAGTGTACAAAATAGCCACTTCTAGTGAGTCTGAAGAGTCATCTCAGTATTCAGTGAGGCACAACTGCAATTGTCTTGCAAAAAGAAAATCGGGATTAAAGTCACTTGATGAGGATGAAAAATATCAGAATAGGGAAATACACTGTTTTAACTGCTGTACAGAAATATGCGGGGACAAGCATGATATTTTTCATCGTCTGTTCGATCTACGATTGTTTAAAAGACCTACGTTCGTTCTGTTTATGGTCTCAAATTTCTTACTTTACTTCTGGTACAATGTTACGTACTTTTTTATGGGTGTACGTGCTATCAATTACGGTCTTAGTGAAACACTTGCAGCCCTTTTATTTTCTGTTCTTGGTGGTGCTAACATGATTGGTGAGGTCTTGGTTGGATTTTTGGCTGATCGTGACGGCGTTGATTCTCTTACTCTATATTTCTTCATGATTCTTGCATGTGGTTTATCAACGTGCTTGATGCCGTTACTTACTACATTTATGTCTATGGCAGTTTATTCTAGTAAGTATCCCGTTTAAATTTTCTATTGTTCCCACTTAATATTGAACTGTAGTGTAGTACTCACTTGATTATAGATGTAAGTGTCCTAAAGAAACGAAACTGGTTCAACTAACTAACTATATTTATGTTCGTTGATTCATCTACTAACCATACTAATTGTTTATTGATGACGCTATTGAATTAACACGAATCCTACTATTTACTATTTGAATGCGTTTTATTATTGTTGATTTTAACATTTGTCGGTCAATGAAAGTACAACTAAGGAAAACGATTTTTCTGGCCTAAAATATGTGCGTCTATCTCCAAATATTGAAAGCCTTTTATGCTGTTTGCATTATATTAGCATATATTTTTTACTCAACTTCAGTAACCTTTCTAGTTGACTTTTGTTAAGGTATTTTAAGTTGAGTGTAGCGAAAATTCTTCATTTTGAGTCGCTAATTATAACTATTCTACCAGGCACACCACTGTACCTATCAGTAAAGTATATAATACATAATACTCGGACTGTGTTTATTTCATCACAGTGATTTCTGAGTTAGTCGTTAAAAATATGAGAGGTCATTATTTTTAAACTTATATCTGTATTGCATACTAGTAGTGTCTAAGGCGTACGCTCATAATATTAAGCGCAACCCATCGCTTCGCGAAAGTTAATTCGTTCATGATATAGAAACGTTTTTGAATTATATTATATGTGAGAGATCAATCCTAAATACAATGCAGTAGTTGGAAAATTATTTGAACCCAATGTTAGTGTTCTGTAGTTTGACTAGTTTCTCATTTACTTAAACTGGATTTATCTTATGGATCATACCATCAGCGCTAGCTAAACGGTGAGTATGCATATGTATATAATTGATCTCACCACCTTTGAATAAAATCATTAGATCACCACACCTTCTGCAGCATAGGTTTGAACTGCGGTTATGTTGAGGTACAAAAATACATGTTATTACATATAGCTGAGCTAAAAAGTTACCGGAGGAAAATCTTTTGTAGCTTAAACCGGAAATAAGTGTCATTTATGCATTAACAGAGCAAATTAGGTACTTGACTGAACCTGAAGATTTACATTTTCGAGTGACCTCGTATGATCTTCAGTGATGTAAACATAACAGTAGTGAATGCTAACAGCTGCCTACTAATATCTAGGAAAAGTCAATGGGATTCAACACCTTTCAAATCAGCAAATGTTTTGTAACCTATCCGAAGGTTCACTTTCTCCGTCTATATAGCTTCGTCATATCTATGCTTTAAAACTGATAAATTTTCGTCCTGTTTTTCATAAATTAATTTTTTCACTTAAGACTTATCCATTTAACATGCTGGGATAATACAGCTTTGTTTGTTAATTCTGATAGAATACAGTCATATTAACACGTTAAACAATAACTGGACCGCCATGCTTTATAGTCTCAGGGGTAAGCGTTTCAGGGCCTACCACCTTCCTTTGCTTTAGATTTCCTATAGCTTTTTCAGCTGTATTAAGTTTCAAGGACTCACGCAGATTTGCCATTCAGCATAACCGGAGATCGTGGGTAACCAAAGTGTGTCTGAAGACCAGTCTAACTGATCCCTAATGTGTTCTGTCCATCGATCCAATCTCCTGGATTGAGAATGATTAGTAAGATCATCTTTTTCTGAAATAGTTCCACCTTCGGTGTCCTAATGCAGTTCTGATTAGTAAGTCTGAGCAGTTGTCTACGTTGCTTATCGTCGCTGCGTTTTTTAACTGTCATCTCATTATTTAGGACAGCGAAACATTGTTAGTTGCTGGAGATATGGATTGCGTTTATATGTTTGATCATAATTGTTTTGTAATGTATTGTTCATTCATGGTAGAACTTAAAAATATAAGACGTACATGTTAAGTTTAGTTAGCTGCATAAGTCTCATAAATCAGTTATAGGTATTCGTTAAGTGAATTGTTTGGGATTGTCGTTCATTTCAGTGCGACGCTTATAACTACCCGTTCTGTTGGCCGTGTTCGTCTCAGTCATGAGATGTAGATATCGTTGTTGGCATTCACAAGTTAGCCGTAATTTATGTTTGAAGGTTTTAAGTGATATGGGTCGTATTCATATGAGTCTTAACATTGTCTTGATTCCTTCACGTCGGATCCGTCTTTTGAATTCTTTCTCTCTTTAGTTTTTCATTGTTATGGGTTTAACTATAATCAATAATGTACTTTTACCCTGGTGCACGAGTGTGTTTCGACATTTTGAGCTTATAGACATTTATACCTTATTCTACATTGTTTACGCCTGTATACGCTTTCTATACACCTAACAGTATTTTTCGTTTTAATTAAAATTTAGGCGTATTTGGCATGGGACTAGCCGCCAACGATGCCCTGTGCACTGTTCTGTTGGTAGAATTTGTTGGACTTCATCGTCTTACAAACGGCCTTGGAATATGTTTTTTTTGTCAGGGTGTTGCCAACATTTTGGGACCGCCTCTTATTGGTAAGTGTGTAGCTATTAGACATGAACTTTACTTTCTGTTATGTTCCGCGTGATGTAAACGGTTTTTTCTTTCAATGAAATAATAACTTAGTGAAGCTGTCAAGTCATCCTAATCCAATACATCGATATGTTACTCCGATTTCCACATACATATATAGCCTGAATGTGTGCTTTATGGAAAAAATATTTCAACACAGCCGCACATTAGTTCATTTTTGTTGAAATATTTTCAGGTAAATGTGTAGAAGTAATTAACGTTTCCTATTTATACTACAAACAATGTTATTTTGTTTATGTTACTGTGAAACCCACTCCACAACCGAAAGCAATACCTATTTGGTTCTACTATAAACGCATTTTCTTCAGTTATTACCCATGCCTGTCCCGGCTATCTTACATAGTTAGAAAAGCCTGTGCATTTTCAGGGTTCTTTGGAGATGATTAATCCAAGCTTTGTCAGCGTTTCACCCTCGTGTTCGATTAGTAGTTAGGATGTACGGCATTCAATCATTAAATTCCAGGATGGGCAGAACATTTTAGGAAGCAGTTCAGCTGGCTTTCAGTCACACTTCAGTTACCCACGATCTCCGGTCATGCTGAATAGCAAATCTACGTGAGTCCTTGAAACCTAATACAGCTGAAAAAGCTATAGGAAATCTAAAGCAAAGGAAGGCGGCAGGCCCTGAAACGCTTACCCCTGAGACTAAAGGATGGCGGTCCGGTTTTACCAGTTAGATTGACTGAGATTTTAGGTAGAATCTGGGATCTGGACGTAATCCCATCCGACTGGACTCAATCCTTGATTGTCTCAGTCTATAAGAAATGACAAAAGTCCTCTTGTGACAATCGCAGACGAATCAGTTTGACTAATATAGTGTGTAGATTGTTAGCCTTGATAATGCTTATACGCTTAACTAGAGCTCGTGAAGAGAAGACTAGAGAAAACCAGGCTGGATTCAGACCTGGACATCGATTTATAGACCACGTATTCGCACTACGTTAGGTCCTAGAACATATACACACATTTAGGTATCCGACGATAGTTCTCTTCCTGGACTTCAAGGTGGCATTTGGCTCTGTTGATCGTGAGGTTCTATGGCAATGTCTGTCATTGGAATGTGTACCAAAGAAACACATTAACCTTGTACAAGCTCCCTACTTGAACACTACAGGTCGAGTGAGAGCTAATGGCGAACTGTCATCAGTATTCACTACTTCAAGTGCTGTCCGTCAGGGATGTCCACTTTCTCCATTGTTATTTAATTTTGTCCTAGATCTGCTTTTCGAAATAACAATATCTTCGTCTGACTTTTCGGGAATGAACCTTGTACCAGGAGACTCGCTCGTTGACTTGGAATATGCCGATGACATAGTTCTATTTGGTGAAGACGCTGACAAAATGCAGTATTCCGGCAACCCTAAGCAACAATGCAAGCATGTCTGGGATGCGATTGTCCCCATCGAAATGCAAAATATTGCTTCAGGATTAGCTTGTATCGGCACGTGAACTAGAAATCGGAAGTGAAGTAGTTGAGTGTGATGACTGCTTCACTTATCTCGGCAGTCTCATTAGTGCTGATGTGGCCTAGTAGTGACTGGTGAAATCTCAGCACAGATACAGAAGGTTTGATTGGCTTTTGTCAACTTGCGTCACTTATAGCGTAGGCGAGATATCCGTCTGCTAACCGAAGGACAAGTCTACTGCGCAGCAGTTTGCTCTGTCCTACTGTGGTTCGCGCTACTTATAAGTAATATATGACGCGAGTAAAAACGTAATATGTGGCAGCAGAAGATGCGGGAAGATCAAGAAAGGAATGGGATTTGTATGAAACTCATGAACAGTGAAATGTCAGACGATGGATTGATATTTGTAACAGGAACAGTCCAGTTCGATATGATGGATTGATATTTTGCAAATCAACGATTTACGATATGGTTTTTTTATTTTACCAATTAACTCTGTAATTTGAGGTAAAAACAATTCGGTTGCCCTCACCTGTGTTCTCCTTCACTACACTACTATACGGGTGTGAAACATGGCCCGTAAGAGTAGTGGATATTCGTAAGCTATCAGTATTCGATTATCGGTGTCTTCGTATTATCATTCATATTTATAGAACCACTACTAGAAGTTTTTCCGCATTTGTACGTACATTTTTGTTCTATTTAAATCTCACCGATAAGAAATTATTCCTACTGTTGTTATTTACCATTTTCAATATTATTTCCAATATATTGTTCATCTTCTTACAATAAAAAGTTTTTTATTGTTTCATCAATTCAAAGCCCATCATAAGTTGTCAAAGTTCGTATTCTTTCAATTCCCAGTAACCAAATGTGCTGACAGACTATAAATATGATTCTAGTTATCATTAAAATTTCAGGTTTTGATCAAGTTTTAAAAATCTGCCATGCAAATATTGTATTATGAACACAAATCTAAGTCATAAATGTATCTCATGTGAAAAATTTGAATGGCTGAATGTTATTCTTACAAACCCAAACATTACAGTAAATCCGTTAAAATATATTCTCAACAAAAGTATGTTATGGTGTTCATTACCAGACAGTTTATTCACTGAAACATCAACATTGGCACAAATGGGCTCCCAATTATTTATGCTCCACACAAATTATTGGGTGTGTAAGTGGGCTGAAATATTACCCGAATCCCCAAACCAATGCAGGTGATTTTCTTATGGAGCCAAACAGTGAACCTCTGACCCAAAAGTCCAATCTACAAGGTAAAGAAACAACGTAAGGAGTTGCACCTCCATGGTAATCGGTGACCAACAATTTATCCACACACCACTCGTTCTCTGAGTATCCTGGAACCCTATGCACCATTAGTTTGAAGTCATGGTTTTCCGACTCCCCTAGGTGAACCCCTCATATATACCAACCCGGTTAAACCTCTAAACACTTTTCTTTCTCTCAATTTCGTAAACAATACCTCCGTCACGAGAAATCGATGAGTAGGACTTTCGTGGCGGCATCTATATACTCTTGGCTACTTAGGTGAATTTTCCACTCTCAGTCATACTAGGACGTTTGAAGGTAATGGTTTCGCTGACAGGATTCGAATCTGGATTTGTGATAAAAAGTTATAAAAGCAACAGTTAACCAGCTAGTAAATACTTTCCACTTAATTGATGATACTTCCCTAAGTGCCGTAGCTTTCATTGTGGAATATAATATTTGTATTCCTGGCTGTACCGTTCCCACTAAAACAACTGTTAGGACAAATCTAAGATGCACTTAGAAAACAATTACATATTAATTAATGCACTCTGAAATCGAATAATTTCCTAGTGAAATTTGTTTAAAACCGTTTAATTTTACTGTATAACCATAAGCAGTAGCAGAAACTTAAACAAATACAGATTGCAGAGCAGTAGTTAAGGCACGTGCTTATCAACCATTTAGTTGCAGTTTCAAACTCAACTATAATTTTTCGTTATGTTCAACTGTGCAGTATCACTAGCTTTCACTTGAAGAGTATGTCTCAGTGCTGAGTGCATATGATCTAGAATAGTATTTGAGCTTCTGAATTGACAATAATTTGAATTACGAATTACATAAGATTTATATTAAAAATGTTTTAATAACTATCAGCTTATATGTCGTATAAAACTAATCATTGCAAAGATGAAAAGGTTAATCATGTGATAAAAAACCTTCTATACAGAGAATTGCAGCTGAAAATTCATTTTCACCTACACCATATTTTTCCATCCTCATTTAGAATTATGCGTAGTGTCTCTAGGTGTGGACATATATATATATATATATATATATATATATATATATATATAGGCTTAAGAGGAGAGAATTATTTTTCTACATACCGATCAATGATCATTTTTTTGTAAATTATCTACCAGTTTCATTGATTTTTTCGCAAACAGATGTAGTAAAAGTTACCGTTAATATTTCCTCATTGTTTACAGTTCCTTTATTCAAAGAATGTTTATTAGTTAAATATCGTACTTTAAATTTAATATGCTGGTATTGTTTTGGTGTCGTTTTATTTGATATTGTAACTTTGTACCGAAGTGAATACCACTAATTACTCTTAAAAATATTAGACAGATCACACTTCATTGTCATAAGTATTCCTAAGAAATGTTTTTCTAGAATCATCAGATTTTTAGTTTCTCGTATGACATTATTAGTGATTAATGTATTTTTGAATATATCTTAACTCATCTTAATCATCAATGTCAAAAAAATTAAGTGTCAATGCAATAGTCTAAAAAGCTGGCAATATTTTGATCAATTAATCTTTAAGAATCTTTGTAACAGCTTTTTCTACGGCAATGACTTGTTTTCTCTGGGATTTCAACCACTGTTTTTTGTTTCATGGTCCATCGATTATATCAGCCTACGTGGCGTAGCAAAGATTCTACAAAAACCCTGATTTCAGGGTATTTGATCAGATCAACTTGTTCTCTTCTCTGCTCAACATTTAGATGATATTCTAGTCAGACTACTAATTATTTCAGGGATATATAAAAAATAGTTTTTTGACATTTTGAAATGAAGTTTCGGTCATACCTGTCTCTAAAAAAATACTTTGGGAATATAAATCTAATGTATTATTTGTATGTAGATATAGCCAAAATGTATATCTGTTACTTCTCGAATTTCAATTAGTGACTAACGTAACAGAAATTACATTGTACAAAGTGTCAAGAAAACAACTTTCGCGCCAACAATCCAATTTAGCTTGCTAACTTAGGTACTATTACTACATCATAGAGCAGAACTAACCGAAATATGTGATATGAATAACCTACTTGATAAATATCTGTTCACAGAAGTTAGTTATGATATCATAAATACGCTCGTGATATACTACTGAATATATCTCCATCCCTTGTCTATTTTTCCTTGTGTTCATTTTCATATTTAACTCTGGTTACTTTCTGTTTTGATCTATCTAACCCAAGTCACTAAATCTTTACTTCTGGGTCTTGCTGTTCACTTCTATATTTTACCCAGGTATTTTTGAAACTGTATATGAATTTCAAATTGACCGCTTACAACGTTCTCAAATCTATGCGGCTTGGACGATAGACATCTCTGAATAGAACTCTTAAAACGTCTCATTGTCGACTTATTCAGTATCCTATAAAGTTGAAATTCAGTTTCTGGTGTATTGCCGCCAAGTTTTAAATCTATCAACACTCGGGTTTTGATCGTCGTTGTCGAGCTAAGTGTTAGAGAAAGATTATCTGCAAACCTCTGCATTTCCACAAAGATTTGTGTGCTGTTTTACTGGTTACACTCTGGATAAAATCAAAGATTCTATCCCTTTTTACTGTATTTATGAACAAACTTTTAGGGATGCCTTTCGTTTATTGGCAACCTTTTAACATCCATCAGCTTTTAGTCTGTTATTGATACATTTCTTCTGCTCTACAAAAGTGTTTTGGTCAGTATATTTTGTAACAGGCGAAAAAAAGCTAATTAGGTTCAAATATAATCCACTATGTATATCTTGCCAGTAAGTCGGAATTTGAATTATCTCATTTCTGTTATATTACAATGTTAAGAGAGTGGATCTTGTTATCCTTTTTGTGTTCCATAGTAAACTAGATATTTGTTTCTACCAAGCCAAAAGACTATATTAATGCTACATGTTGATTATGGCGTCAGTTTCTCAGTTACTTCCGTAAGCTCGGTCTTTTAAACTTACCCACAAAAGAATATCCTTGAAGCAGACCTAATAAATCTAGTTTTAACAATTAATGAGACACTATACGATACTGTTAAACCGAAACTGGACACCTATGATCTATGTAATCAGTGTTGTTTTAAATCATACTGATAGAAGCTGAAGATTAAAATGGCAGTAAACAATGTGTATGGTTTCAAAAAGATGTACTTTAGTGAACGAACGCAACCATTAAGCTATGAGTTTTTTTCATATGATTAATTCTGAAAACAAAATGAAGTAGACCTTTAAAGATATTTGTTGATAAACGAGTCCTAACTGTTTTGTTTTTCTGGTGGGATGTTCATATGAGACGACCTAATCATTGATAATATAAGTCAAAGTAGGACATTCTTTTTTTCTTCATCTTTGGTGTATCGTATACGTAACAATGATGAGACTATCAAGGCTGTAGGTTACTGTGCATAAAGTTATCAGCGAGTTTCTTTTTTGAAAGTTCTCTAGGTAAATTAATGATGTGCTTTGGCATCAATTAGATCTTTGTCTTGTTTTTCTGAAATCTTAATCATTTAAAATCAAAAACATTTAAATCATGTAACCATCTGTGTTCATTAACACAACATATGAACCTTCATTTGACCTCTATGACTTTATCATTTTTTTAATTTTTTTTTAATTTTTTTAATACTACCCTATACGTCTAGATAATTCTTGGCACCTATAAAGTTGTCTATGTATTTCCAGCAATCATTCGATTTTTTTACTTATCGAATTCGTAATATATTGTTTTAAAATACTGACTAAACAGTTAGTGAAGTGAATAAATTCAGTTTAGTATTACCATTAAAACGGTTTGTTTATGTAAGGTATTATATTGAATATCCTGAAGTTCTTAGTGAACTCTTATTAATTAAATAAACTGAACGAACTCAGTTACATTATTGACTGGAATTTAGCGCGTATATCTGTACTTTGTATGTATGTTTTATTCAAAAACAAAAAAATTAGTTTTTTAGTTATAACTACGGGATAGATTGATTTGCTTTGTCTCATATTGTTTATATTCATGGTTGACCGATTGAATTTGTCGATCATACGACAATAGTTTTAGTTGCATCATTATTCATAATTGTACTATTAATTGGCAAATGAAAATTGAAAATATTCATACATTTATGCATGATTGATTGTTTAAGTAACTTCATTTTTCGTGAATAATAATCTCATTGTGAATTTATTTTATTTGGCTAGCCACATCAGACAGTCATTTGTTTAATCTATCATGAATTATTTGTTGATTGTATTCTTTGTATACGTAATTATTGAAAGTTAACATTCAAAATAAGTCCTGATAGTGTTGGCTATAACAATAAATACAATTATTGAATTCAGTTGTAGATATTGTTTACATATGGAATCGCTATCCGAATTCGTAGCAATATTTATTTTGTTGTGATTTGTATCAGGGCTGTTATATGTTATGTAACCTTATTAAGGTAACTGATTTGTGTAGGTTACCAAGAGAGTGATTAATCTACAGGTGCATACAACAGAACAACATATCTCACTGTAAGTGTTCATAAAACTAGAAGGAAAAAGGCAAGGTATTCTTTTCAGGCAATTTAATAACGTTGATAATAAAATATCCAAAATGGAAGTGTATATTCATGTATACTGTCAGTCGGAAAAAGCATTTAATACCATACTTGACAACATATACGAGGCACTAAAACCAATCTCACTTTCTACTGCAAACTTTCTTCACCAGTAGGATGCTCCAGAAGTGAGTCAATAAAAAAGTGACCCTGAGTTATATTTTTTTTTTCGATAATCATGTTTAGTGCTTTACTCCGGGTGTTACATAGCTAATAGTGAGAAGACTTGGAATTACGTTTCACACATGTTTATAATTGCCAGTATGATATCTATTTTCATGATCTCAAAGAAACTTATCGTTCTCTAGAGAGTGTAGCTCAATAATTTGCTTATCAATGATTAACGTGAAAAGCAAAGCTAATAAAAAGCAATCAGCTTCAGCAATTAAATGATAAACCTAATGAAAACGAGCAGTTTTGGTAACAGACTAACGAATTTATAACCATCTATATATGTAATCATCAAGTGATATTTAAAAATTATTTGGCTATTAATTGTAATTTACTCAGTAACATTATCTAACTTATTCGTTTCAATACCGGTTATTTAAAGATATTTTGAGGATTGATCGTAGATAAATTTTTACTAGCTGCTAAATAATCATATGTAATGCTTCTTTCAAGTGATTGGTATTTCACAGTTTAGCAATAGGATTATTGATCACAGTACCTGTGACCTAAAATAATGATATTTTGATTAACTAGAGTAAACATATTGTCAGTGAATCTTGAATATTACATGTTACATATAATAATACTTGTGTTTTAATAGTTGGTAACTTGTGTATCATAGAAAAATGATATATATATATATATATATATATATATATATATATATATGTATATATCATGTGTGTGAATCATGTATGTTTCGTGTATGTAAAGGATTCTATTTGGCTCGAACCAATAACTCATTGACTTCAGATCTGCAGTTCTAACTGATGAGTTGTAGTTATGATGAAGTATCTTTCATTTTTCAACCACATATATCTTGCTTGATAATAGATTTAATCTGAAAAGTCTCCTTTTTTCTAATATCTTTGTCGTTATTTTATTTTTGAGAATTTTATACATGGTAAAGAATCTAAGTATCACAAGCGACTTAGGTAGTAGTAGTTCTCATTGCTCTGTAATCCTGTACAAGTTAGGTTTACTATTTTTTTATTATCATTATTATTTGATACCAGTTGCTTTGGAAACTGCTAGAACACTAATCTCATTAGTTCGTTTTAAAGATAATTTTCCAATGTTATTTCCGGATTTGGAAATTTAGCTATCTTGAAAAATTCATTGACTTGGTCTCAAAAATCTGATGAAATTACATTTGATTTTCATGTTGTCTGTATGGTTTTAATTGTATCTAGTGAAGTCAAAGAATGCACTGATACTCTTAAAAATTCACTGACTACCTGAATTCACAGTACCTCAATGAACAATCCGTTGACCCTTGGAGCGAAATGTACTGGGTTTGAGTCTGTGAGCGTTAACATTGGAATTCGTTTACACCCTAGCGACAAGTTAAAAACAGGATGAAACTCGTGTATTGCATTCCACCATTTGTTATCTAAAACCAAACTATTCTGAAACGTGTATGCGTTTCATTAAAATTTTCAGCTTTATCTTGCTTTAGTCAGCTTTAACATCAAAATTAGATTATTGTCACATCCAATATATTTATTATTATGCAAGTTTGTCAACAGTTAATTGTACAAATTAAAAGGTGATCAAGAAGTTGTAGAGCTAGTTTTTATCATAAAGTTGGCTATTCTCATGAATGGGGAAACACAAGATTTAATTTTAGTTAAAGATGGAGAACTTTAATGTCCACAGCTATAGATATAATTGTCACAAGTAGATTATTTGCAGTCGATATTACTTTATATCGAATGCATTGTTCGATGCGTAAAGCGACTGACTTTCAGCTAGTGAATCGTAAATCTGAACGCCGCTTCACCTATGCACGCTAGTGTAGCTGGATAGTATCGTTGATCCTTACACTGAAAATACAACTCATAGTTGAGTACTTTGCATAATATACTTTCATAAAACATACACCGATAGTAAGTGAAGTAGTATATTGACTCACAGCCTATTCAAATCTAACCACTTCAACAATAAAGAATTTAAGCTATTGTATTCATATAATAAATAACTTTCCTTAAACAGGAATTGTATATGCACCTCTAGTATACAAAAACTACAAATTCAATCGCACATAGATAGCTTCATTATATAATAACAGTTGATTTTGACTTTTTCATTACATTATCAAGTGAATGGATGAGTTAATTAATTAAATACACTCACACACACACACACACACACACACACAAGAGTAACAGTTCTGTTATAAAATCATATAACAATTTTCTTAACTGTTTCCAACCATTTCTATAGATAATGTTTATTGTAATTTCTCTTTACTTCTCTATTTTCTACTTTTATAATACAGAAATAAATATTGTAATTAAATGACTAAAATGAAAACTCGCAATCAAAGAATAAAAGCAATCAATTTTAGCAAATAAACAAGAAGTAAACATAAGAGAAACGAGTAACTGTGGTAACGGACTAATTTATAACCTCATATATATATATATATATATATATATATATATATATATATATATATATATATATATATATATATCGACTTGGAAACAGTTAAAAGTACAGTTAGAAGGTCGTATTTTACTGTTTAGCATGGGAAATTTAATGTATAGAAAGGGACGAAGCAAAGCAGTCACATGCAAACGACTAATGACCTGAACACATGTATTCATTTCAATGCAAGTATTATAAATACAACAAAAGTTCACTTTGTTTGTAGTAAAAAATGGGAAGAAAGAAGTTATGAATTAATTAAGGCGATAGTTATCAAGCATTGGCTTTCAGATTACGCAAATCAGAATAAGTAAAACTTATTTTTCCTATTTTGTACTTGCATTTGTATTTCTGTAGATAGAGAAATGAACAACATTGTAGATTGTTAAAGAATATATCCATAAATTAACCGTACTTAGCTATGAAGATGCTTGAAAAAAAAATGTCCCTTGCATTATCACACAGTAAATGTGACATGATATGTAAGCTAAATTATAATCAACACCTGCTCCTAATTCAGATCATAATTTAATTGTTCATTGAGCATATTTCATGTATGTCTAGAAAGTAATCTCTCACTCTAACCTACACGGCTAAACCTGATTCCTAAATCTGAACTGTTTTTTATTTACTATACTGAATAATTCAATAATTAAAAACTCATTAATTCTATCAAAACTATTTATCTGTTGTAATTTTTATTTTATTCTAAGCTGTTTTATGATTGAAAACATAGTCAGTGTGATGTAGTACAACTAGAAACATAATAATAGCTTTTTCCTATTTGAATTGTTAAAAACTAGTATAAAATTGAAAAGCTACGATAAACGGAAGAATTTCTCTCGAATTTGTCATAGTTCATTTTGTAACTCTGAATTGCACTGTACTGTAGTATTGTTTCTCACATTGTTTACTATAAGATCGTAGAAAAACTCTCTGGTTACTTAGTCAAAATCTATGTTCACAATAGATATACCATCATGTTTATGTACATTTGAATTGTATTATTTTCTGAAACTAATAAAATTAAGCTTATCTTTCTACTAATTAAAGAATACTAATTGTTTGTACTCTTAATTCTTTTTCTGTCAGTAATTTACATGCTGTTACCTCTCTTGTGTTTTAAAAGTTGATAGAAGTTTCGTGTAAGTTCGATTATTTTATTTAAAGTGAAAAATACTTTTTTCTTTGTTGATGCTAAATATTATTGTAAACAATTTTGTATCATCCTTCAGTAAGCTGGCTTCTTTGTGAACATAATATGTTCAAGTACACCACATCATTTTATTTTAACATGCATCTTTGAAGATGGTGGATGGTGGTGAAAGCGTGTAATAAGATGGTCACTCACATTTATATATCTAACTAGGTGGATGGCGGCAAGTGGTTAGCTATTAAATGTTTCAAATGTGTTTCGATCATTCTCAATTCATTTGACTCAAGGGTTTTCCAATAAAAAAATCCTCTTATAATGTAAAAACAACGATCTCCATAATTCTATAATGACAAAAAAAACTAAGGTATCCTATGTCTTTGTCACGTGACCATTACTTTAAGAGTCAGGTGAAGTACTTTCCTGAATATCTACAATGTTGTTTATCATCATTGGAAATGTTTTACTTGTGGAACTCTGTAAATATTTGCAAGCAGTAACATGAAGTTTCGTTAAATAATTTAGCTAAATATTCATTCATCAAAATACAGTAATTTCCAGACTTAAATTCCACTTCTGAAATGGTTTTTTGGTGTTTATTTCTTCTTCTCATAACACCTTTCTAACCAATTCTTATTTTTAATTTGAATTGATGATTTTTCACTTGTTACTAATCTCTCTTACATAAATTTGTAGAATAAATATTAATCGAAGTTGTAGATCTTAAATTTGTTAATTGTAAGCAAAACTCACCACTCAATACGTGTGCGTTTGTTTGTTGTAATCTCCACTTAAATGTTTTTGTCAAAGCTTAAACTAATCAACATGAAACCACTGCTTTCGATTGATATTTTTCTTATGAATATATAATTAAAAATCCGCATTTTGTTTTTTGCATCTCATGAAATTCTTCTAACTGTGATTTTATAACTATTCACGTAGTGCAATGCACAACTTCTTTTTATCAATAGCTAAGAACTTATTAAAACTTACCTTTGTAGGTGGTCGTTTCCGATAAACAAAATTCACTAGATTGAAAATTTGAATCGAATCTAACTGTTTACTTTTATGCGATCGACCAGTAAGATGTTTAAGAATGTTACCTACTGTTTTGTTTTACGTTCATTCTAGTTACATAAGCAACTAGGTTAGTGCGAAATAATTGAATGGAGACTTTTCTTTTATTTACTACTTTCTTTTTACCATACCTATCAGGTTATGTAATTGATTTGACGCAGTCTCATGATCCTGCTTTCATTATTTCTGGTTTGGGTATGGTTTTGGCAGCGTTTTCAGTTGTTCCTATTATTATACAGCATTTTCGAAGAAGGCGGGCTCGTCGATTACGTCGTTCACAACAACACTGCACTGAAATTGTATTAGAAACACAAACATAACAATCATGATGGTATTGCTACCAGTAACGATTATTCAATGACTGACTCATCAGAATCATGTAATATTGTCTTGCTCAGATTTTGTTGGTAGTTATTTGACGACTTATTCGTTTTATTTTGTTTCCTCTCTTTTCTCCTTGTATTGTGTCTTACTTTTGTCAAATAGTTATTTCATATTTAACTCTTTATCTTTTTTTCGAGACGGTTTTTTTGAGGCTACTGCTATTTATTCAAATAAACGTTTATTCCTTGATTTTACTTGATCGGTTATCTATTCGTTTTTTCATTTTTGTTTTAACCCTATAGTTTTATGCGCTCGCTATACAGCTGTATTCAACAAAGTGCATTGGTACTAAAATTTATTTTTTATTTTTTTTCACCAAAATGATGATTATCTAGCATTTTCCTTTGTTCACAGAAATTACAAATACGCCTTTTTAAAATGCAAATCAATTATGCATACACAAACACACACACAGAGATTTCTACATTCCATTTAGAAAAGAAACGAAGTATTGTATATGAGGATTGTTATTGAACTAGAAAATCATTTTTTCAAAAAAAAAAATCCTCACTTCCTTGTTATTCTTATTAACACATTCATTTCTTTTTTTTTTTGTTTATCTCATCTTGTCTTTCTACTTAATCATGTACGTTATTGCACTTCTATATAATCAGGTAAAACACTTGACTATAATGTTTGTTATTAGCAATTATTGAATATATATCTATATTCTGTGTACGCGGATGTGTCAGTTCAGGAAGAGGGAACTCAATTCTTTCTATTGACTGCAATTAATTATCATGAATACTATTATTGTTGCTAATGCAACTAATACAGCTACAACTATTATTTACTATCAGTAACTATAATTTTCAATGCAGCTGTCAGTATCATTCTTCCTATCGGTATATTATTCCTGTTATTATTCTTACTTCTATTGTTTTTGTGAAATCTCACTTGTATTTAGATTCGCAGATAATATCACACTATTTTCATACTGTACGCATCCAAGCATGCATATATATATATAGTATGTTGATGAGAAAAAGAATTTATTGTTATAGCCGGTTTCGTTTCCCAAACTATTTCTTACTCTTCTTCTGAGATATTTTTGCTCAACTTACATTTTCTCCGACAATTTTTATGTCCACCTCGCAGACATACATGAACACATGCGCACACTTTACTGATAGGTAGTAAAAAAATATCGATAAACATTGTAGACAAATAAATTTTTTTCATATTTATAAATGTGCTAGTGTTAAATAATTTTATTATCATTATTACGCATTAAAATAATTAAAAAAACTGTATTTAACAGAATAAACAGATATTTTCTCGTCTTATATGAACCAATATCAAAAGTACTTGTGCATGAGTAGTTCACATAGTCTACGTCGATTCACAGAACAGTCTAGAACATGTATGTGTACTTATCCACTTTGAACCGATCTATCAGTTTAAATGCAAGAACAATTAGTTTCAAACATGCGCGTTAAATATTGCGAAAAACCGTCTGTTTATTTACTGAATAATAGCTTTTTTAAGTTCTAAAATAAATGACACCGAACTGACTAGGCAATTAAATTTAAACACTATACCTGATGTGTACAAATTAGTTATTGATAGTGAGACCTTTTATTTTGTATTAACAAAGTTACAGTTTTGTCCAATACTATTGAATAGCTTCACTAAGACAGCAAGCAAGAGTCTATCTGTCGTGCAAGTATCTGGCATTTGTATTGTCATACGACTATGAAGATTGAAAATGTTCGCGTGTTATCAGTGCTTAGACACATTCCTTCGAATTATTACCCACATCAAGCAAAATATATAGTGGTTAAGTGTAGAGTACTCGATTAGAAATTGTCGGTGATGATGTAAATCGCAAACGAATTTGGTTGTAACATGTATTACACATATCAAGCTATTATCAGTGTTAGTGTGCCACTCCATTTACTCGGAATAGGATTAGTATCGATTTGCTAACCGTGTTAGCAGTAAAAGGCATTTTAAATTATTGTTTTAAACCTTACGTAATGTGGTTTAAGAGTAGTTATTGCTGAATCTTACAAGAAAAAGTAATCCGTGAACCGATCTTGAGAAGCTTCTTAGTCATACAGATAATCGTGATTTAAAACAATTTATAGTGAAAGCAAAATTTATGAACGTTTTTGACATAAATTCTTTCATAATTATTATTCATCGTAAGCGTATTAGTTCCTAATCAAGGTAACATTTAGTTCATTTACTGATAAGTTACAAACTGTCATTTACAGCTCTTTAAATTTCACGCAAAAATTCATAAGATGTTATCCCAAGTCTTTTGGGTTCAGCAGGATAGCCGTATTCTGATTTACTCTGTACCCCAAGTGCTTCACTGTGAACAGTATTGGATTTAATTCTTGTGTTTAGCCTTACTGATTCAAAATATGTTTGGACTTATGCCAGATCCTTGTGTATCCATCACCGATGGTTCGTTGGCAATAAGAAACTACGTTGAATTTTAAAATATTTCGAAATCTACTACTCAGTTTGTAAGATTTTTGATCATCCGCATTGCCGAAACTGTATCATTTTCACTGTGATGCAATCTAGTCTCCCAGTTAGTCGACAAATTGTCATTAGGTAACAATGTACTGTGTTTTAAGAGTTTCTGATCAGTAATAAATTATGATTTACAATGATGTCAACATCCATTCAGAGTAAGACACATTATGGGATTACCAAAAATTGATGTTGGTCAGGTAACTACAAACGTAATAGATAGGGCGAATGTTTTTCATTTAAGTGATAAATTAACAGAAGTGTAGAAAAAATCCTATCATTTGATATGATAATCCTGGATTCATTTGTTCTATGGTTTCGGGTGTTCAGTTCACATTTCGTAACAATTTGAAAAAACTCTCCAGTACCTACATCACGGATATGAAATTTTTCTTTACCAATCTATTAAGAATGAATAAATTGTATTCAATGCTTAAATACTTCTGCCACTGTTGTTTTCTCAGATTTCTGATTCTAAATATTCCGTTTATGTTGTTTAGGTGTTATACAGACTCATAGTATGGTGTTTGTAAATCGTCAGCAAAAATACCTGAACTTAGGTTACATATTTGTTGACACTTGTTAGCGAGATGTAACTGTAACTTTGACGGAACTGCTTACTAGAGTACTTTTACCCAGTCTAAGGCGTTACAACACAGGTTGTTATAAAATTACGAATAAATAGTCTCTCTTTTCTACCATATTTCTATCTACATATCTGACTTAATTATTACTTTAAGCATTTATGTAATTTACATTTTAGTGTTGGAATAACAGTACGTTAATTAAAAAGATCGATTTTTCGACCATAATTTCTAGAACCACCTCACATCTATATTTATAGAATGTTGGTATCACTGGCCCACCTCAAATGGATGACTACGAAACTCGAGTACATTTTAACCTGCTGATCTAATGATATTGAGTCGGATATGTTGTTTCGTGTAACTTTTTCAAAACATGTATCAGCCATTGTGATCTGTTTAGATAACAGTGTTAGAGGTCATTTGAAATAATGAATAAGCGTGCATTACCGCTACATTGTTGTTAATCTATTCAACTGTATCAAGATGAGATAGTTTGAGTTCTAGTTCGAATGAATCTTGATTCAGTACTAACGAGTTGGTAATAAACAAGATACATTTACTTTAAATTTGATAGATAAGCTGTAGTTTAAATGTATTCTTATTATTATTGATCAATATCATCGAATGATAACTGTCACAATGATAAGGCTGTAAGCCTTTATGTAATAAGCGCCTATACACATGCAAATTACAGAACAGCTATTCTGGAGACTCGCTCAAGTCTAGGCTTAAAATGACTGGATACACTTGTTGCTGCATAATGCATAGCATTTGGTCTATCAACTAAAGTACCTCATTAACCGGAAGTAATAAAATTTATTTTCATAAAAATGTCAATAACGTAAGGCACTTTTAGCTAGTATTCATAATATGTTTATTTCAGAGTAAGAATATTGACAAACTTGATAATTTTTGAATTATAATTGTGTCAGTATTTCTAAAAACCAAGTGTATAATGTCACCAAATCGAAATCATTACAAATTGGCTGTCAGTCACATAATGTAGTTTAAGCGAAGTTTTATTATTCTTTCCTAGATAAAGTACTAGCACTCAATTACTTTCGTTTTTTATACTTATAAATAATTAACGTTATATGACTGAAATCAACTATAAGACTTCAACTGAAATTATTCTGTGGATAAATCAGATAAAAATATATAAGTCAGGGAGTTGGCTTGTAATATTTGGTAGAAAATCTGCGTTAAGCAGTTATCGTATTCGTTAAGGAACATATGTATGATTGTTTTCCTAAAACTCTGCAATTCATCATTCGATTGTTGTTAAGATTGAAATAACTCCAAAGTAGTTTGCAGAAATATCAGATGAATTGTTAAAAATAGTGATTTACATGAATAATATGACATATTTGGAAAGTTGGCCGTTGCAGTTTAGTAACACAGAGAGATATCTTATATCATATATATTCACTCAATTTGTTGGCTAGTGGTTCAATCCAAATCCTACTTGAATTTACGCTTTTCATATTTATCCAACCGGATACTTTGGTTAAAAAACCAAATCAAAATCTTAAAAAACTCATTCATATGTGATTTGTCTTTCTTGATTAGTTATGATAAATCTTTAACCAACAGGCTGTTCCTAACATCATCTCTCATCGGTCATTTTCCTTTGAGTCGATATATTTGATTTTGGTTTAAGCGTCCAAATTAATACAGTCACATAACATCACCAAGCATCTATTTCGAAATATATCTTCTGCTTTTAATGGGAAAGGAAAGGGCTGAATTCACTTCTTAACTGTGGTTAGTGTAGAGACTTTCGTAAATAACCTTCATCGTTATTCACATTATTCATCATCCCACTCGATTTGTATCATCACTGTTATTGACTGTAAATTGTTGTCTAAATTTGACCTTGACCTTTCGGTCACCGTTTTTTCGCTGTTTGCACGACTTACTGGTTATTTTCAATTAGAGTTATGGAGATTAGTGCTTTTACACATTTAAAATCATCAATCAATCATTGTTAGACCACCATTAGAAACCTGGAAGCACTGGACGGCTGTTTCGTCCTGGTACGGGACTCATCAGCAGTGCTCATCCACGACTCCTGCACCTCGCAGGATTCGAACGTGGGAACGAACGCCTAACCATTAGATGCCGGCCCAGTGGTCCATTGGTGATGATGAGTCCCCTACTGGTTATTGTTCACAAAATACTATTGCCTACAACCTTCTCGTTACTCAGCTGGCATTTTAATAGATTCCCTATATAATTGCTATCTAAATTCTACACATCATATTTGTATCCTCATTACTCGATTATTCCTGAAATAAAGCAACCTGAAATTATTGATTGTTTATTATAATTGTAGACTACCATACCAAAACCCGAACACTCTTTCAACTGGCAGTATGAGCAATGACCAATACTTTTGTCCTATTAGTTGTCGCTAAACTTTTTGCAACAACTTTATCATCATTTCGGTATTGGCATTTTAGTCCAATACACTAGCAGTGGCATCCAGAATCAGAAGTTTTCTCGATTTGTAATATCTTGACTAAATGTGCTTAGGCTCTAATCCAGAACTATATTCCAGTGTCTAGATAGCTATTAACTTGTCAAGAGTTTGTATACTCCGTCCTTACGACTACTTATTCACTTTCCAGTGATGCTTGCCGTCCTTGTGGCTGTAAGTTAATAAAAGTCCCACAAAATTGTCTAACAGTTGAAAATTAACCTGAGGACAAGCCATTTGATCTGTTTTTCAGTAAATAATTACTCATGTGATATCTAATTGTTGTTCATTTTCCTCATGTCCTTCTGCATTTCTCAGCGTAATGTTTTCCTCGGCCACTGTCTTTTCCTTTGACCTTAAGGGCTCCATGTGAAGGCTTGTCTTGTGAGGCAGTTGGGTGCTTTTCGCAGTGTGTGTCCTATCCACTTCCACCGCATCCTGATTTCCTTCACCGATGGAATATGGTTTGTTCTCTCCCACAGTAGGTTGTTGCTGACAGTGTCTGGCCAACGAATCCGAAGTATTTTGCGTAGACAACTGTTCATAAATACTTGTATCATCTGGATGATGGCTTTGGTAGTTCTCCAAGTATCCTCTCCATACAGTAGAACTGTCTTGACGATTGTATTAGAAATCCTGATTTTGAGCTCCAGATATTTTTTCAATTATAGAAAGGCTTCCCTTGATTTTCCGATGTGCGCCTTCACATATGCGTCAAATCCACCTTGTTCATCATTGATGCTTCTAGATATGTAAAGGCTTTTACATCCTCCAAGGCGTATCCTTCAAGTGTGATTTGGTTGGTGCATGTTGTGTTTCATCGGAAAAACTTGCTTTTCCATTTTTGTATGTTGAGAGCTGTTACTGCAGAAACTGCTGCTACACTGGTCGTCTTCTCTTGCATTTGTTGTCGCGTGTGAGGTAGTAGATCCAGATCATCTGAGAAGTGCAGATCGTTCAGCTGCATCCTCACTATCCACTGCAAACCGTGCTTCCATCCAGATTTTGATGTCTTCATAATCCAGTCAATCACCCGGAGAGAGAGAAAGGATGAGAGTAAGCAACCTTGCTTGACACCGGCCTTCACCTCGAAAGAGGATGTCATCAGTGCTCCGTGCACGATTTTGCAGCATAATCCATCATAAGAATTCCGTAAGATGTTGACGAAGTGTCTAAGAAGCCTCCACAGTGTTGTCCTGTCCACGCTATCGAATGCTTTCTCGTAGTCGATGAAGTTGATGTATAGTGAGTGACGAGTTCCATTCAATTGATTGTTCCACAATGTTCCATAATGTTGCAATTCGGTCAGTACACGATCGATCTTTACGAAAAGCAGCCTGTTGATCTCGAAATTGTGCGATTATGAAGTCCCTAATTCTGTTTAACAATACCCTGTAGATGGTTTTGCCTGGTAATGTAGGAAGAGTGATGCCTGTGTGGTTCTCACACTTGGTGAGATTGTTTTTTTGTATTTTGATGAGGTATTATTCTTTCCAGTCTGATGGTACTTGTTCCTCATCCCAAATCTTGTTGAAGAGAATGTGAAATATTTTTGCAGTTGCTTCCAAGTCCGCCTTTATTACCTTTGCTGGAATGTTGTCTTGTCCCTTCACTCTGCCGTTCTTGCTTTGTCTGTTGCCCATGCTGATCTCTTCAACTATTGGTAGGCCAACATCGATTTGGAGGTCCGTAGATGCTGGTTCGATATTGGTTGGTTAGGGTGGAACTAGTCGATTCAAGAGTTCCTTAAAGTGCTCAACCCACCTGTTTCACTGTAATTCAATGTTGCTGATTAGCTTGCCTTGCTTGCTTTTCACTGGTCGTTCTGGTTTAAGTTTGTTTCCAGAGAGCTGCTTTTTGTATCGTACAACTGTCTCATGTTTCCTTTTCTTTCAGCCTTTTCCGCCGTCATTGCTAGGTCATTCACATATTTTCGCTTGTCGGCTCTGCTGCTCTTCTTCACTTTCCTACCTGCTCTTGTGTATTTAGCTTGAGCTGTTGTTCGGCTGACGCCGAATGACGCCTTCCTGTTCAACGTTTCTTAAATCTTTTCAAGATTACGGGCAGATATCCGCTCTTTTTCGTGGTACTTCCTGTGGCCCAGAACCTCCCCACATGCTGAAGTGATTGCCTGCGTGATCCCATTCCAATTGTTCTCCAAGGTTGTATCTTTTCCATTGAGTATATCGAGCAAGGCCTGGAACCTTTTGCTGAGAGGTATCTTGAATTCATTGAGCTTTCGAGTATCCCAAAGAAAGGCTACATTAAACTTGTGTGATGTTGTCTGCCCCGTTGTTCAGTGTTTCTCAAGTTTCAGTTTGATTTTGGCGACCAGCAAGTGCTGCTCTGAAGCTATGTCAGCTCCTCTCTTGGTTCTCACATCCTCTATGGTCCTTCTGAACTTTTTGTTGATACAGGCAAGGTCGATTTGGTTCTGAGTAGTGTGACCCAGTGAAATCCATGTGACTCTGTGTATGCATTCGTGTGGGAATATTGTGCCGCCGATGACCAGTTTGTTGAAGGCATGTAAGTCTGCAAACCTCTCACCATTTTCGTTACTTTCTCCCAGTCCATCTCCTCTCATGATCTATTCACGTCTAGATTCGTCCATGCCAACCTTGGCATTCAGGTCTCCTATCAGAATCGTAAAATCTTCTGATGAGCACCATTAGTTAACCTAACAGCAGTTTGATATGCTACGTGGATATTTAGTCCAACATACAGAAGCAAAATTAGTCTGGTTTGCTTGTAACGTGGAGATAGTAGAGAAAGTGTATTCCAACAAAGTGCACAATAACTAAAGTTTGGATTGAAAAACATTGTTTAAAATCTGCCTAACATCACAAAAGCAGGGAGGGTGGTGTATCTGACGAGCATTCATGATGGTGGGGCGATAACCTCAATCTCTTTGTCTGTGAGGCAAAACATTTTGTTCGCTTACGGCTCCTTACGATATAGCATGATGTAACAAATCAGTGATATTGATGTTACTTTTCCTTGCTAACCTCGTCCACAACTCATGTTCGTAACCTTGCGCTGGTTTTAACTTCCTACCAAGAAACCCAATAAACGCATATCTAGACAGTTATACTGAAAAAGAGCTCACTCATGACTTCTTGAGCGTTTAAAAGAAGAATAAATGAAATATCGAAAAAACATCAGATCACTGTGACTCGTTATTATATTCTGTATTTCAACATTATTGCTAACAATTTGGTTCTTCTAAAGTTCCTCTATTCATTAGATTAATTGGCCATTCGTTATCGTACTAGTGACTTGTCTTCATAAACCTACATAAGTGCAGGTGTATAGTTAGTGTTCTAAGACAGAAAAAGAGAGACCTGAGTAATCATACCTTCGTTATTTTATTATCTACTGAACAAGAACATTTTCTGTCCCGCTCCTCGCCCGTCCCTCTTTATTACCCTTTTCTAGCACTTCATCATACTCTTTAAATATTACCCCGGATAATTGCCGAAGACTTGATTTCTTTTCTCAGGAGCCTGTTAATTTATTATTTAAAGAATATCAACAAGAAGGTTTTTGCCCACTGACTTCATCAATTCTCCTTTTATACAGACATGGATTTAAGAAGAGACTTGATAAACACGTACTCACATACAGATTATCATCTCACTTGTGGACCAGCTGTGTCTGATATATATTTCGAAACTTGCTTCTTGTTGTTGTTGCTATCTCCTTAGGTCACTAAATTAACCCGTCCCGCTTATGATGTGTGTGTCCTCTCCCTCATTTACACTCCTATCTTCTTGCACAATCAACACTACTAATTAACTAACCTATCTATTTATTACTTAGTCCTGAAATCTTCTTATCAGCACTAGACTCTTCTCATTACTATTCCTCACATTGCAACTAAGTGATCTTCGATCTGGTAACGTGATAGCTGCTGGTCTCCAGAACCTCTGATTTCCTGAAACTTATGTACACATTCAAATCACGGGACATACAAACTCACAAACAACTGCCAACTGACTAGGATCAGTGCACTATCAATTGGACACTACAAAATACATGGAACCGTACCGAAAGAAGAAAAATTGAGCGCAAAGAAATTAATTGGTCTATACTAGCTCGTGAAAAAGATATTGGATATTGGGTCTATCAGGCGCGTAACTTCGTGTACGCTACTTGTCGGACGTTTGTCTGAATGACCAGGTTGTGTTTTCGGTTTGACTTTTAGACATTTCTATTCTATTCCACACTATGTATCTATGGCTCCTTGAAGGTGAAAATAATTGTGCTTTTCCATTCTTAGTGGGCAGCTGACGGGAATACCTAATCATTAAGTCTCTAGAATCGTTACCTACAAGAAATACTGTTAGTAACTTGTTTGCGGTTGAAAATGCTCCTCAGGGGGAGCACTCCGTCTTAAGGAACTTATTTTCACGGTTTATAAAGTTGGGGCAGGTTAATGATTTCTATGTTTCTCACCCAGATACAATGAAATATATGTACATTCATTCGCTCCTGTCTGAGACCACTACGCATGTATCTTCCACTGAGTTAGATAGGCTCTTGTTCAAGAAATAAAATGTGTTCATTTTTCTAGGTGGGACAATTTGTTTTTTTACTGACAGCAACATTAGCGTCGGTGAGTCATTCACGTAGAGCTCAGATGCAGCAGTCCCACCCAAGAGGAAATCAGCCGGAAGTTTTAGGAGGAGGAAGAAATAATCGTCTTCATGTTGAAAATATTACACTTCATAGATATACCACTGTAAAAGATCAGATAGATACCTCACTTTCATAATTCACCAAGCTTTTGAGCGTTGACATTTGCGAATGTAGAGAATTCTGTTGACTTTACTTTCAATGTCCAGTCTCTCTGCCTACGCCCCCACGGTCCGCAGTTCAGACGAGGTGAAAGATGAGTTTTACAGAAAGTTTTCAGACTTCTAAAATATTAGACACTCTGATTTAGTAATAATGGCTGGTGACTTCAATGCTCAAGTAGGTAGAGTGAAAACGAAATACACCAGTATGGATCTTATGGTGTCGCGGCTGATCGAACAGATAATGGCGACCGTCTGTTGCAACTGTGCTCAGATAACCGCCTACTTCCAGCAAACACTAACTGCAGGCGTAAGGAAAAGCATCTCTTGACATGGCGACTTATCTCACTGAATCATACTTCTTCAATAATACCTTGGAACCCTAATCTTATCCTTAATCAGTATTACTTCTATTACTCCTGCCACCATGGGGTTTTAATTGACGATTGCGTCTCTGTGCTAATGTGGTATGGCAGCATGAACTGATGTACGAAGTTCTACGTCGCAGCTGACTGACTGGCCTTTAAGATCCACCATCACAGATTTAGTCCAGTTGGATATTTCAATAAACTACCATCACTTAATCAAATAAGAGTAACGTATACCTAAATTCAATCAGTATCAAATTGTCTTTGTGCCTTCACTTTTCATAACTTTGCAAGTATCGTGCGCAGACGTACTCATCTTAAACCCTCCTACTCTGATTTATAAGTTTATATAAGGTATCTCAAGACATATAGTCTCAACATACTAATGCTGGTTGACAAGACTATATTGTAGAAACGAACAAAGGGCTTAATGTGTTTGAAGATGACAAAGAATATAAATTCCAAACTAAATGAGAGGTATTCAAAATTTTCATTCCGCATGTATTGTCCGGTTTGTCGGAAAAACGAAATTAGAAGTATTACAATATTTAAAGAAGCAGAAATCACAATTCCTGGAAAGATCTAGGTCGGTTTTTGTAAAATATCTATAACTCCAGTATGTTAATCGAGAATCTGACTGCCAGCTTTGGAGTTTCGCGAGTAGGAACATGTTTTTAGTTTCTAAAGCTTGTTTCCCTACTTGATAATTTAAATCAATGTCCTGGCCTCGCTATCACTGTTGGATTTGAACTGACAGTTACGTCTCTGTGTGCTGCTAATGTTAATAAATATTAGGTTTCATGTTACCGTATGAAGTTCTGCGTTGTATCTATCTATTTATCTATCTCTGGAAGAATAACTTATGACATTATCACATTCAACCAAATTATTCTTAAAGGTATGCTCTGTCAGTGATCTCAAGATTTTACTTAGAAAAGCTAGTCGCTTGATGTAACACACGATATTTGATAATGGGTTACAAGCAAGTGTGTTACAATTGGTTATTAGCCTTTCCAAGTCATAGGGTTTTCGTGGTAACTTTAATGTACCAAGATAAGCACTCTTCGCTGTCTCGTTACTTGTTCTTAAACTGATTATTAAGTGAAGTCCCCAACTTGGAGGTTCCTGACTGTGGCCACGTTCATACATTTCGTCACCTAGTTTTTAAGCCATTACGCAATATTTTTAAAGATGAAAACAAGAGTACAAAGCATCAAAGATTGTTCCACTTAAAAATTCTAGGACCTGTATGACTAACGTGTTGTAGCGAACGTTCATTCGTACACAGCTTTGTGTAGATTAAATATTGCTTGAACAACGATTCCGAGGTTTTCAGAGTATCTACTTATCAAGTTGGTTCTCCTTTAACAAGCATCTAGCATTTTGTTGATGGTTACTCTCCACTGGAGCATATTTTCAAGGTTGGTTCACTGATAGTTGTCTCTTAATAAATATCAGGTTTCATGTTACCGTTAATCGTTTCAAATGCTTGGCTGCAACATCGTCTAGATCGGTGAAAACAAAGTTAGCCATCTATTTTGAAGCTTTATATTTTAAGACGATTTAAACATCCCACTAAAGAGGACGATGATTTAGAACCTGTTACAACATCAAGTGGTGTATCTGAGTAAGTTGTTATATTACGATTTACCTAGTAGCTGTACTAAATCTACAGACATTGTAAAGTCAAGGTATGTTAGAAATGTTTCGTCCTATCAGTGTAACTTTTGATCGACAATTTTAGAGACCTGCTTAGCGATATTATTAAGGGATATCGTTTCGGTGAGCTTGTTTTCTATCTTTGATTGTAACTTTACCCAAGGTAATGAGGCATTAACAACAGCTCCATTCCGCGTCAGTCTCCCTGCACCTGTAGATGTAAACATTTTTACTCATGAACATGGTAAGTGAATCTCAGATCTAGTCATTTTTTAGTGTCACATGCTGAATCTCCTGCCTCAATAAACCCCATCTTCGATGCAGTCGAAAATTTGGAAGTTTCACTTTTAAGTTGTGCTTCTCCAAACAACCAGTTCGAAGAATGGTTAAAGTGGACTGTTGAAAAAAAGATGTGGAGTTTTCCAATTAACAATGAACAAGGTAAGTAGTAACACTAAGTGGTGTTCAAGGTTGTCAGCTTGCGCCATTTCCCGCTTAACTTTACTGCAGATATTTATTATAGATAACGCCATCATCACACAACCCTTCTTAACTTAATCTCTTACAAATAAATCTGTCCATTGACTCATAATATTCAGATAACAGTTCTTTTTGTCGAGTACGTTCACAAAATGCAGTAAACTTACTACCTTAAACAATAGTGCAAGCCTGTGTGGTTTGCAGTTTTCTCTCTCCAAATGCAACCTATTGCTTTAGAAAGGGTCTTCCGCAAGGCCTAAACTAACATTAGGTAGTGAAGTAGTTAAACGCGTTGACCACCTTACTTATCTTGAAAGTTCTATCGACCTTAGTGGGTTAGTTTCTGACAAAGAATCAGTATGAGTTTTGAAATCTCATTTTCATCAGCCCAGTTCACCTGCGGCGTAGAAGAAGCGGCTGTCTACTAGCCAAAGGATGAGTTTACTTCACGATTGTAAAACGTGATATTTAAAAATGTGTAACTAGTATTTTATTATAGATGCTTCCTAAGCATTGTTCATGTCTGTTGAGACCACCAAGTGCGTGGTACCAATGTTAATCACGGTGGGTCATATAAAACGAGAGATAAGTAGTCACGAGATGGTAGTCAGATCATAAGAACTGCAGTATAAATGAATACACGGAAATTGATCCTTGATTTCAAAAGAAAACTGAAATTCACTATTAAATCACTTCTGTCAGGGAAAAGCTAACCCCGGAACTAGTTACAGTAAAAAGAGGGAGGAAAGAACAGACTGGGAAATAACTTCACATTTAACTCATATTAAATTATGATAACTCAATAATCTGAAAAAAATGTTTGATAAGTTAGTAGATCAGGTGAGAAACAGTATGATATGTGATTACAACCTTGTTTTGAAAAATCTATTAAAGACTAGATAAAGTTAACACAAAAAAGGACAGCGGACCGAGTGAAGAAAATAAATAAAAAAAAACATTCAAGGCTCACATTTAGGAATTTTCAGTAGATCTGTGGTCCATCTGATAACATGTGCCGTATAGATAGATAACGAAACTGGTAAATATTCATCTCCTTCATATAAGTTTTCAAATTTTCAGAGAATCATTTGTTATAGAGACAAGGCATATAGCTTGTAGGATGTTAAGTCCAGGAGACGCTGCAATTGACTGTTAGTCGTACCAAGAATGCAACAGTATATCAGAATCCTAAAAGGTCGAGTGGATATCACGCTTGATCTACAGAACATCAGAAAATTGCAGATGGCTGAAGTAGTTTATGAGGTGTTATATCCAGATATTTTAAATAAACATCTGGCTTTAACGTTACCGCCACAGCTTTTCGGTACATCAACAACACACGCAACTTAACCCTGTCATTATTAACTCTAACTTTTAGAAAAATGAGTGAGTTGATGCACTAAGTCCCAGGAAGTACGTTAATTTCTGCCTATGGAGATTAGAAGCTATCATATTACATTACACCATATTATATGTGCAAATGGCACAGTAACGACTTGCGTCATCCTCGGATTATTACACTGCTGATCGGCATCAGCCGTGAAGTTTTTCTCTGACCTGTAATTCCAATAAACATAAAAGCATATATTATGTATCGTAATAGTGAAAAATTGCATACACTAACTGATAGGAGTCACTGATCAAAGCTTAGTTCCAGTTTATATCGATTTTCTTAATCGCTAAAAGAACCGAAGATTCATATATTGTTGACGGGCTGACCAATAGGTCCTTATGAAACTAGTTACTTCACTGAATTATCATATCAAGGATTTGATGTATGAAACGTTAATACTGCGTACAGACATTCAGCAGCGGAGACTACAGACAAAAGTAGTATGCTTTCTATTAGTGTATATTGCTTCTATCTAAGGTAGATTTAAATAACTTCAAGTCGTCAAATATCACAAGCTAAATTCATATATGTTAGCGAATAGTGCCATTAATACATCACATTGGACTAAAAATCCCATCTATGTTGAATAATATATTCACCTCTGTCTAAACACTACTCCCTACTCTAGATTCTGTTTTCAGGGGCAATTGCTGCTTATTATTTAAAGATCATGGTTCACACGGATCCAAGCATTTATAAACCGGGATAAAAGATATACAGAATGATTATTAATGTCTGATATTCACTGATACGTGTGTAGAGACTATTTTCATCCAACGAATGTTAATTTTCATATATTCTGTTGTGTACCAGTATGTTCATTATTCGGCAAAGCATTTTTTGAAATCTCAAAAATGATGCCCTATATGCTAGAAACAAATACTATAAGGACAGTCATGAAGTGATTTTTTCAGCTGGCGGTTCAGCAACTTAATCTATTAAAAATCCATATCTTATTTTTATACTTCACAGATTGGGATTCGGAGTTAAATGTACCTTTCCATGAACATGTATTTCTGGAAAATCATCTAAACAAAGAACATCTCAAGTGTAAACCACTAGCATCGTTCTTAGAACTCGTCTGCAATGGGCTTTCTCAAAATCCACATTTTAGTGTTAACGAAAAAAAGCAACATCTGGAGTGGTTTTCACAGTTCTTTGATGATAAGATAACACGAATAAATGCTTCTGTGCAAGAAGAAGAATATATGGCTAATCTGGAGAAAATGTCTAGAGGAATTTCAACATAATCTTGTGATCTGTATTTTCTAAATAGACTATGTGCTTCAGAAACGCTATTCCTATAGCCGTCTTGAATGTGGTCTTTTAAACAACGAAATGCTAGTCACTTTCTTATCAGCATTGAAACTGCCAGCTTATACAGCTGACCCGTAATGAATAGCATACTTATATCTGATGTGTCATAATCGTTATTAAACCTGTATATTCCCGGTTTTATCATCAAAATACTTGGTTGAAGACCCCTTTTCTGAATTGACGGTTTCATTAAGTCTGGTAAACATGTTAGACGTTTAGTAGGGTGGAGAAATATTGGTTCTTAACTAACCTGCTGCAGTGGATTTACATTAGTGCATAAATTTTCTAATGGGTAAAAAAACATATCCACTTGGTGGTAATATTTTACTCAATAGTATTTGTTAATTTAGAATTACATTGGCAAGTTGGTTCTTTAATTAAAACAAATCCGACCATCATACAAAGTTCGAAACTCCGAGTCGTGATCTAAAATCGGTTGCTTTAAAATCATGTGTCCATGATTGGCCTGTAGTAACCTCATATTTATTCTTAGACTAACCCTAACCTTATAGTTGAATTTAAATTCACTTGAGAAATTCAGAAGCCATTTAGAAAGTAGATTGTGATCGGTCTTTTTATTTTATGCGTTTAGGAAATGTATATAGGCATTTTAACCAAGATCAGTGCACAAAATGATTTGATATTGGGCAAACGGATTATTAATTAGGGATAACCATATATGACAAGCACACAAAGACCCATAAAAGTATAACCGACAAGATCATGAATACAATGATCACGAACAATGGTGGATAGCGAAAGCAGGAGCGATGGAAAAGGCACCGGCGATAGGTAACAGCAGGCAATTGTTCAGACTTATCAAGGAAACCGGTACTAGAAATCTATCTGTTAGCGAAAATATCTCCAAAAAGGATGGGCTTATCATTCATTTTCAATCCAAGAGATTGGATTGATGGACAGAACACTTTAAGGATCAGTTCAACTGGCCTTCAGCAACACCGGTTACTCGCAATCTCCAGTCATCCTGAATGGCAAGTCGATGTAAGTACTCCGAGTCTTTATGAAGTCGAAAAAGCTATAAGAAATCTAAAGCGAGGGAGAGCTGCGGGGCCAGATAGACTTACTCCTGAGTATTTGAAGGATGGTGGTCCAGTTTTAACAGTTAGATTGACTGAGATTTTAGGTAGAATCTGGGAACTGGACGTAATCCCATCCGACTGGTCTCAATCGCTGATTGTCACAATTCACAAGAAAGGACAAAAGTCTTCTTGTGACAATCACAGACGAATCAGTTTAACTAATATAGTGTCCAGATTGTTAGCCTCGATAATACATATACACCTAACTATAGCTCGTGAAGAGAAGACTAGAGAAAACCAGGCTGGTTTTCGACCTGGACGTGGATGTATAGATCGTAGATTCACATAGATAGGTCCTTTAACACAGACACACATTTAGGTATCCGACAATAGTTCTCTTCCTGGACATCAAAACAGCATTTGACTATGTTGATCGTGAGTTTCCATGGCAATGTCTGTCATTGGAACGTGTACCAGAGAAGCACATTAACCTTTTACAAGATCCCAACTTGAACGCTACAGGTCGAGTGAGAGCTAATGGCGAAGTGTCATCAGTATTCACTACTTCAAGTGATGTCCACTTTCTCCATTCCTGTTTAACTTCGTTGGAACGATATAGAATTATCCACGGGGAATCTAGTGCAGAATATTAGGGAATCTATGTTACGAATTTCATATACCAATAATTTAATTGCTCAATAATATGCTAGTTAAAAGCAATTCTGTAGTTAATTATCCTGTCGATGAGCATACCCTTCTCTCAGACTTGAGTGCTGATCTATTCATGACCAATGGTCAGTCCTTATGAAAACCGGCATAACTGTAAATCCTGGCTGTCTCTGTGGACGCGACCTGTCAGTCGTTACAGATTTCTGGTCTGTCTTTTAAACAACTTATGACATATCAGCTTATCTATTTTATTGTTGTAGCATATTTTTATTCCTACACTATAGTTGTTTGACGAGATACATTTTACCAGGTACAGTTTACGTAAGAAGAACCTGAATGTTTTCCAGTATGGAAGTAAAATCCTGCAACTGATTTTAACGCTGAGTAGACCAGGAACTTAATGCTTCTAAAAAAGCAAGCAGGCTTGAGAATCGTATCTTGATAGAATAACTGTGATCGGTTTTAGTGCGGCCGAGAGTAGGAAGAGCTCGCTCTCCCTCTGAAAATGCTCTCACATGGTCACTGCCGGAGGAGGCCTACTCAATGACTTCTTGCGGCACACATCCGTTGTTTAGAAAATTCAGAGGACGAAAAGCGAATACCCTGTGCCTAGACGGAGTTAGTGGATACTGAGGATCCACCTACGGGAATTGGGAAAATCGAGATCCAAAATCTCAAACGAACTAGTGGCGTATAAGCGTATTGTTGGTCACTGGCTACCATGGGACTGCTTCTCGCAAAATTACTCCACCATCGTATGGATTAGACATCTGGGTCAAAGGATCGGGCAGCAGTCTGCTCAGAAAACTACCTGCCTCGATTTGGATACCCGGGCAGTATCCCAGCATGAACACAAATACAATGTGTGGCACATATATTATGGTGCCACTTTGTATCAATAATTATACGTTTACATAAAGGTAATAAAAGTAATTATGGTTAAACCCACGAGTCAAAGTCAGAGCATTTAGAGATCAATGACAGTTTACGCTGAAAAGCCTTATTCTTGTTTCATTACACCCTTACTAATATGAATATTTAAAACATCTTCACTATAATCTGTAATTATGTATTCAGAAAAAGTGTTAGTCCTCTTCCATAGCTTCGTTAACAAATGACCCGTCTTTATTTTCGTATGGTTGTGGAATAAAGTAGTACAAACCATCATCTAACTGTTTACAAACAACAAGGACTTCAGGGTGAAGTGAAGTACGCATCATACAACTGTCTTTTTCTGCTAACTCTTCGACTCCTTCACCATCTGCCCAAACTGCAACTAGGCCAACTCGGAATTCAGAGATTTCAATTTGAAATAATTTCTAAGATACAAAATAACTCAAAATAACTAACGAACGAATACGAAAAATTACAAACTATAATCCTCAATAGTACTATAACGTTAGTTATTTGCACAGTAATAAACTGAATTATATCTCTTAACAAAAGTAATACAGAAAATATAAACATAATAGTCTAACTAGAAGACGAAACTGGAGTAACTTAGAATTTCATTAGTTCAGATAGATAAATATACAAATATTCCACAAAATACAAGTTAGACAAGTTTGGAAAATACTACAACCAAGCGGATAGTCATATTTAGTAACCATGAATGGTTAGAAAGGTCGCGTCATTCTATGAAATCGTGAAATGATGAGGTTATTTCAAGTTAACATTTTCCGCACATCATGACTTTTTAGAGTTAAAAAGATTACGCAACGGACTAAGTCGAGGTGTTTGAAAAAATAAAGTCAGAACAACAGTTGCGGCATGACAATATGGACTCATTATACTTCGCGGTTTATCATCAGCTGACAATAAGGTGTAGGTCATTTGATGACGGAGTTCAAAAAGTGTAGGAGGGGGTGAAACAGTAATTGAACGAAGTTCGGAAACAGATAAAATGGATCGTGTGGTAGTTATAAGCTTATCAAAGTTTTAGATCACTTGAAAATAAAAGTGCCAATAACTTTGCATCATATTGTACCTAGTTATTATACTTCATCATATTTGGTTGTGGGCAGCTGATGAGAAACCAGGAAATGTAGTGAATTCATATGATTATGATTCAATGGTTGTTCTTGCTTTGCTCAAATCCATAAAGGAAACCAATTGCATGAGATTTCTGAAGAATCGCCTTCCTGGTCAGGTCTTTAGACAGCTTTCCTTTCCAAAAATAGTAAAACATAGTACTGAAGATGGAGCCTATAAGAGCCGCAACCATTACTATTTTTAACGTCATTACTGTATGGCCATCATCCTCCAGTTTCCTAAAGATGGCAATCTATTTCGTGATACATCCGAGAGCCCTGCTGAACTACATCTGAATACATCGAATTTTTGGATCCCATCATTTTCATAATAGAAACACAGAATCAGGTTCGACTGGTTTTCAGACCAACAAATGAAAAAAAATCTACAACGTTACTAAGCTGTTATCGAGAAAGGTGTCAAACTTTATCCCTGCAATCTTTTAAGAGCAAATATGACAGGATAACCGAAAGCTGGCGAAAAAGAATATTAGTGTGTATGATATCCACCTAATCTTTTTTACTATTCATGGACAGTCTCGTATGAGTGATAGGAAGCTGTACAAAGACAAACTTACTAGAATGCGACACTGTTCAGGCGAAAGAACATCTCCTCTGTTGCACACAAGATACTCCTTTTCTAAATGGACAACACCTCGGACTAATTTAACCGGCATTCCTAATTGGCGCAAAACAGGCTCCATAGAATGAGGGAATTTGGGCAATGGACCAGATGCGATTCGAACCTGAAAATAGACAGAATGCGCACGAGAAAAATCCTAATATATGTACTAAATTACATTCATAATTTAGAGATTAGCAACGAATATTTATATAGACAATACTTCGTTCAATGTTGAATATAAGTCACCTGCCAATGTTTCATAACAGTGGAGACCTCACTAGTACCATCAGGTTAACTGGGGAATATATAATTAAAGTTGAGAATGAACATTTATCTTTATATCACAGTTGGTTATCTCTCATATTTCGAAAAGAAGAAAAATCACCGATGACTTAAAAAAGAAAATAAAGCAAAACTGTCTGAATCATGATATAAAATTCTATTTTGAATACACTTAGAACTATTGTTTAGGGATGATTTCAGAAAAGTTATTCGAATTTTCCTTTATCGAGTTTAAATTCACGTAGGGCAAGACTAGACAGAACAAACAATAGATAATCTGAACTATCTTTTTATAGAGTATCGGTCTTCGTCTAGTTCTTAGACGTCATTAACGGAATTATCTCTCTTAAAAATACTCAAGGCGCTGCTGTTTTTAAAGTACTGCTTGCGCCAAAGAATGGTGCAGATGGATCCATTTTTTGTCTCCTCTCAAATCCTAATCCTCTGAATTTTGCATCGCTTTTATCTTTCTCTTTTTACGTTTATTTCACTAGATTATACTTCTTGATTTATATCTTCGAACCCTAATCTCTCTGATTACTTCCAATACTTTTACTACAATGGGATTTGAATTGACAATTGCGTCTCTGTGTAAATATGATATGGCTAATTGAACTATTGTACGTGTGTACGAAGTTCCACGCTGTAACTGATTGACTGACTGCACCTTGTGAAAAGAGCATGTGAGAAACGGTGTGGTTGTGATGTGGTGTGAGCTACTTATAAGTAGTATATGACGTGAGCGTCAACGTAATGTCTGGCAGCGGAAGATGGGGGAAGATTAAGAAATGAAGAGTGGGAACACAATGGAATTTGTATGAAACGCATGAATAGTGACAATGGATTGATGTTTGGCAACAGGAACAGTCCAGTTCGATAGGATGAACTGATATTTTGCAAATGAACAATTTACGATATGGTTTTCCGATTTTACTGAGTAACTCTGTAATTTTCATTAAATATAATTCGGTTGCCCCACCTGTGTTTGCCTTCACTACAGTGGTACTTAGTAAAGGTAGGAAATCTGTAGAAGTTGTAAATCATAGGCTGGAATTGTTAGAAGAGTACTATGTATGCCTGACTACCACCTACCTTGAAAGCTGGTATTTGATAGTCCAGAAGCACGTTAGAAGTGGTCGAACCAAAACGTGGCGTCAATCCCTGAAGTCATTTATTGTCGGTTAGAGCCGTATCACCGTGATAAACTTTGAGTGAGAGAGGAAGATCATTAGCAGTAGCGCAGATACATTTACTGCTTCTCTTCCCGTCTATCTTGAATTTCAGTATCCTCACATACATGACTTCACGGTCTTTTAGAACCAAATTCCCAACGTTTAGTCTCTTCCCTAATCAGCACTACATTACCAAGATTTCCTTAGTCGTTTTCATATTGTTGTACTCATTTGACACAACTTGGGCCGACGCACATCTGTTTTTTATTTGATTAAAGCAATTAATTGTTGTTACATAGTGACATAATATAGACGCCACGCAGTGTATTTATATTCATGCTAGGATACTGCCCGTGTGTCCAAACCGAAGCAGGTAATATTGTTAGGGGGCCAGTAACCCCATCCCATAGAAAGACTATCTTGTTTGATAGCTGCTACCTTGACGTGGTGGCCGGGCAGTCCATCGTGATTACCCAACCGAGCTATATTGGCTGGAACATATGTTCCTGTAGGTCCTACCAGGCCAGGCAGGTCGATTAGAGAACGATGAGACTAAAAGCAGCTACTCAAGGTCTGAGGGCGAAGTCGTACTGCTGACCACAAAGAGGTGTGAGAGCAGTTGTGTTTCTCTCGTACAAACAGCATCTGCAGCGATACTGCCTTCTCACACCTCACCTTACGTCACGGATTTCCATCTCCAGAGGTAAGGGCTTTCAAGCAAGAGTGGAACTCATGCTTTTAAAACCTTCAATAAAAGGCCGTGCGCGAACGGCCTCAGGCAGTTGTCGCTTGGACTGTGCGGTCACGCTCCCAGGTCTCTAAGACCAACACTAATCTACCTTCCTTTTTAGGTTCTTCAAGAAACGCCCGTCTACAGTGTGGGTAGCCAGAAAGTAACAACCTCCCTCATACCCGTAACAGCACGCGAGACCAAATCGGTCACAAACTAATCCTTCCTTCACCACCTAACATCGCCCTTATCTCTACAACTAACTTTTCTCAAATTCATCTATCACACTGCACCGCTAATGCAAATGATGCGAGTTTACGAAACGTTATTCCTGGTCTCCTGAAACCCCGTTCTAAACTACATGTTGGAGCACTTAATGTCCAAACATTGTGTCGAATAGGGCAACAGGCTTCATTAGCTAGGACTTGAGAATCTCGTGCCATCGATGTATGATACGTCTCCGAAGCGCGCATACAGGATGCTAGTAAAACCATTAATCTGATTTCACCTTGTCACAATAAAGAAACAGCTTGATTTACCCTTCGTGTATCTGGGAGGCCTGATGCTGCTTCCCGGGGTCTCGCTGGGGTAAGTATAGCATTGAGTCCTCGGACAGAACTAGCTCTCCTAGACTGGATCCAAGTAGATAGTCACCTGTGCGCTGTCCGACTAAACGGGACAGTAAGGATTCGGAAAGATAGGGACACACCGTTGCTTCTTCGTCGTATCTGCTACGCTCCCACTGACCGCAATTCAGACGAGTTGAAAGATGAGTTCTACAGGAAGCTTTCAGACCTTCTCCAAAATGTTAGGAACTCTGATATAGTGATAATAGCTGGCGACTTTGATGCTCAAGTAGGTAGACTAAGTGAAAATGAAAGACACCTGAGTGGATCTTATGGTGTCGCGGCTTAGAGAACAGATAATGGCGACTGTCTGTTGCAACTGTGCTCAGATAACCGCCTATTTCTAGCAAACACTAACTTTAAGCATCAGGAAAAACATCTTTCGACCTGGCGACCCCCAAAGTCGTCTCAACACTGGACCTAACTAGATCACATTGCCATCAGACACCGATGGAGAGGTTCGACAGAGGACTGTTGCTCGTTCTGGGGCACATGTCTAGATTCAGATCATGCCCTAGTGCGTGCGCGTATTTGTTTGCGACTTATTGGACGAAGGAAGGACATAGCAAGAAAACCTGTTAGGGTTCTACTTAACAATAATAAAGCTAAGAATATATTTCAGGAACAGCTAGAAGGACAGTTAGCCACTCAAGTAGTAAGTGATGCCTACCCTGAGGCAGCTTGGAATGAAATCAAAAAAGCTGTGGAAACTGCAATGCTATCTGAAAGTTAGATGAGCCATAAGGTTAATGAGAGGCCGTGGATTTCTGTAGCATCTACCGAACTGATGGATGCTCGGAAACTCATCGCGCCTGGCTGAGTACGATGAGGAGCGGAGTCAGCTTTAGTGCATGCTGATAAAAAGCCTACGCAATGATCGTGAACAGTGACGGGTAGAAAAAGCAAGAGAGATGGAAAAGGTAGCAGCGAGAGGCAACAGCAGTTCCGACTTACCAGGCAAGCCGGTACTAGAAATCTATCTGTTAGCGAAAATATCTCCAAAAAGGATGGGCTTATCATTCATTCTCAATCCAAGAGAATGGATTGATGGACAGAACACTTTAAGGATCAGTTCAACTGGCTTTCGGCAACACCGGTTACCCGCAATCTCCAGTCATCCTGAATGGCAAGTCGATGTAAGTACTCTGAGTCTTTATGAAGTCGAAAAAGGATCTCAATCACTGATTGTCATAATTTATATGAAAGGACAAAAGTCCTCTTTTGGTAATCACAGAGGATTAAGTCCGTAAGGGCTGTCCACCCCTCTCTGTCTGTGCTAGGTCATCACGATGGGCAAGCCTGAATCCGCGTCAAGGTAGCAGTTATGAGCAAATGCTCTTTGGAGATAACACGTGTCAAGAAGACAAATAATTTTCTGTAAAAACTAACTCAATAACTAAAATCAAAGTTACTGTGTAAGGAATGGGATCACTAACAAGCAGGTTAACGGAATTATCACGTATGAAGAAAAACTAACGTGGCTGTTAAAAGCTTTAAACAATTAGTTCCCTGGAACGTTGGGAGTTATAAAATGGGATAAAAAAGAGTAATATACAACCTGCTGTGGAAAATGCAGGTATTAAGGAGATTGGGTAAGGAGTAGAATTGCACAAGCACTTACCATTAGAGTACTAGGTGAATTTAATAAAGGTACTTTCACTACTTATATTATTAGAGATTCAGCTTTGAGAGTAAATTAACCATGCTCCAATTATATAAGACAGAGAAATTTATGTGAATATGCTACTCGAAGGGGATAATGAAAACAAATACACGAGATATTCCACTGATACTTAATCAACCATTAAGTGACTGGGACAAACGAGTTATAAAATAAATTGCTCACCATCTTGACCCAAGAGAATAGTATTTAAGACTGATCACTAAATAGCTTTTCTAGATCTTACAGACTTTAATTATCAGTAAGTCAGTTTGACGTCTGACTCTTGTTACATAATTGCTCTTACAGAAGACTTGGTAAGGAGTTCAGATAGTTATGAAGCTCGAGGGCTGAAAAATTCCTATAATTACAGAGCAACGTAGTACTGAAAAACGGACGAGACACTACTTTGACACCTACCTAGCGTTGTGTACTAGGTCAACGTAGAAAATTAAGAACTCACAGTCTGCTCAGCAAGTACACCTGGTCTACTATATTCTGAAGAACGGAATGCATCGAGCTGTACACGTAGTTCTGAAGGCAATGACTTAGAAAATAAAAGGGCACATTGTCCTTTCAAATATTTACAGAGAAGATGCAATTTTGGTCGATAACTTTCGCCACGGGTTTTACCCAAAGCCAAAGCCGTCACCTTGTTGACACCAAATAAAAGCCTAAACTGTGTATTATACAAGGGAAAAGATTAACTTGATTTTCTCCATGTTTTTTCGTATTTCCGAAACTTTTTGGGTACGAAGATTTTGCACAGCTATTACATATACTCTCCCATATTCATCTATATATTGGCGGACCTTATTGCTAAGTAATATTACTATCCATTTATTACCTTTGCAATGTGCTCCTTTTTCTTCGAGGCATGTTTTGGAACTTGTGTAAGTTCAACTGAAAATGATCAGATATACAGAATACTGCTGATCTACCTTTCTTATCACGCCTTGAAATCGGCATTTTAATCAAACCGCCTTTTACAACGATGTTTTATCTCAGTATTCACTTTACAGTAATAATCAGTAAAATTAAGTCATAACCTCGGAGTAAGTTGTTGTGTAAACATATGTTTTGCGGGTGAAACATCACGAAGCACTAGACGAGTCATCTGTCAAGATGGAAAATTTCCGTGGCACGAACCATTACTGACGGCTAGATGGTATATCGAACATAGTCAAGGTCAAGGATGATCAACGCGGATCAATCAATCGCACTCGGTGACTGAACCCATGCTGCAGCGGTTGCACTGTGTTCCTCCAATCTATTTTAACCAGTGCAGTTCTTCGATGAAGTTATGTTTCCTCTGTATAGCCACCCAAGTATCTGGTGTACATCTATACAGCGGGAAATTAATCTACTTTAAGTATTAGCCATGTGATGTATTTTCGACCTATGATGTATTTTTTAATGAGGCCCTAATATCATGTCATAATACTTATTTTATTCTTGTTCTTTATCGCATCACTGAACTTTTCTACAATGACCTCATCCTAAGTTAGCCTGAGTCAAATCTCATCGGCTGATGCAATGAAGCCGAACGATATAAATCGGTAACAGTCCAAAGAATAATATAAGCAAGCTCAAAGTAATCATTCCATTCACTTTGAGTAGGATTCATTTCTGTGAATATGTCACTTTTCTGTCTCTTAGTGTTTATTGTGTATGCAAAATCGGATACTTTCCAATTCGTTTCGTAAATAAACGCTGCTTATTGGAGAGTAACTTTAGATTTAGGTTGTTTTTCAAGTTGCCACTGTCATTCGGTTTTTGGCTGGTTGTCAGGTTCCTTAGTTCTAGATTTCAGCTGCATTGGAATGAACTGGATATTCTGGGAATCGTGCGTTCCAACTGGTCACTTTACGTAAAGCTCATTGCTTCGTATTTTACAGACAAAAAAGTTCATGAGTTGTGTTTATATTCTGTAACTAATATTACTAGTAGATATGTGGTTTCCGTCAGCCTAACCCTTGGTATTCGACAGTGATTGTTTCGCCATAGGACCTTCGATTAGAAGAAGGTTTAAGTAGCTTGAACGAACTTTGTTTATTAAAGAAACATATTTTCATAAAGTAGATAACGTGTACTTATTAGTTTCGTCAGCGTACTAAACTTTTTAAGTATTTACTGGATTTTTTTATAGATGCACATTAGAAGTGAAGTGAAATCACTGAGTTTTCGGCCTTGTCACCAACCATAATCACGTTAACTTGTAATAACTGTGTAGATACAAGCAACTTTGTTTGTTATCTATCCTTTGAGTTGCTTTTTGTGATAGTGAGTACACAACAGGGTGGATCAAAACCATCATTGTTCCGCAAGCTTGACAGTTTTTGGTTCATCCAGTGGAGTTTATTTGCTGAATGGAACATAAACCTGTTTTTCAGACTGCAATAGGTGTCTGTGCTGGATAATTTGATCATTTATATAAAAAGCATACTTCCAGATAAAGGAAAAGGCACTGGCGAATCTAAAATCATTAACAGCAGGTTTACAATCCAATATTCGTAAGCTGACTGCATTCGATATGACCTGTTTAGTTCGCTATGTCAGAATAGGGTTTCAAAGATTTTTATTTAAGAGATGAGGCCTTGACTCCGATAATGAATGGCCAATTAATCTAATGAATAGAGGAACTTTAGAAGAACCAAATTGTTAGCAATAATGTTGGAATACAGAATATAATAACGAGTCACAGTGATCTGATGTTTTTTCGATATTTCATTTATTCTTCTTTTAAACGCTCAAGAAGTCATGAGTGAGCTCTTTTTCAGTATAACTGTCTAGATATGCGTTTATTGGGTTTCTTGGTAGGAAGTTAAAACCAGTGCAAGGTTACGAACATGAGTTGTGGACGAGGTTAGCAAGGAAAAGTAACATCAATATCACTGATTTGTTACATCATGCTATATCGTAAGGAGCCGTAAGCGAACAAAATGTTTTGCCTCACAGACAAAGAGATTGAGGTTATCGCCCCACCATCATGAATGCTCGTCAGATACACCACCCTCCCTGCTTTTGTGATGTTAGGCAGATTTTAAATAATGTTTTTCAATCCAAACTTTAGTTATTGTGCACTTTGTTGGAATACACTTTCTCTACTATCTCCACGTTACAAGCAAACCAGACTAATTTTGCTTCTGTATGTTGGACTAAATATCCACGTAGCATATCAAACTGCTGTTAGGTTAACTAATGGTGCTCATCAGAAGATTTTACGATTCTGATAGGAGACCTGAATGCCAAGGTTGGCATGGACGAATCTAGACGTGAATAGATCATGAGAGGAGATGGACTGGGAGAAAGTAACGAAAATGGTGAGAGGTTTGCAGACTTACATGCCTTCAACAAACTGGTCATCGGCGGCACAATATTCCCACACGAATGCATACACAGAGTCACATGGATTTCACTGGGTCACACTACTCAGAACCAAATCGACCTTGCCTGTATCAACAAAAAGTTCAGAAGGACCATAGAGGATGTGAGAACCAAGAGAGGAGCTGACATAGCTTCAGAGCAGCACTTGCTGGTCGCCAAAATCAAACTGAAACTTGAGAAACACTGAACAACGGGGCAGACAACATCACACAAGTTTAATGTAGCCTTTCTTTGGGATACTCGAAAGCTCAATGAATTCAAGATACCTCTCAGCAAAAGGTTCCAGGCCTTGCTCGATATACTCAATGGAAAAGATACAACCTTGGAGAACAATTGGAATGGGATCACGCAGGCAATCACTTCAGCATGTGGGGAGGTTCTGGGCCACAGGAAGTACCACGAAAAAGAGCGGATATCTGCCCGTAATCTTGAAAAGATTTAAGAAACGTTGAACAGGAAGGCGTCATTCGGCGTCAGCCGAACAACAGCTCAAGCTAAATACACAAGAGCAGGTAGGAAAGTGAAGAAGAGCAGCAGAGCCGACAAGCGAAAATATGTGAATGACCTAGCAATGACGGCGGAAAAGGCTGAAAGAAAAGGAAACATGAGACAGTTGTACGATACAAAAAGCAGCTCTCTGGAAACAAACTTAAACCAGAACGACCAGTGAAAAGCAAGCAAGGCAAGCTAATCAGCAACATTGAATTACAGTGAAACAGGTGGGTTGAGCACTTTAAGGAACTCTTGAATCGACTAGTTCCACCCTAACCAACCAATATCGAACCAGCATCTACGGACCTCCAAATCGATGTTGGCCTACCAATAGTTGAAGAGATCAGCATGGGCAACAGACAAAGCAAGAACGGCAGAGTGAAGGGACAAGACAACATTCCAGCAAAGGTAATAAAGGCGGACTTGGAAGCAACTGCAAAAATATTTCACATTCTCTTCAACAAGATTTGGGATGAGGAACAAGTACCATCAGACTGGAAAGAATAATACCTCATCAAAATACAAAAAAACAATCTCACCAAGTGTGAGAACCACACAGGCATCACTCTTCCTACATTACCAGGCAAAACCATCTACAGGGTATTGTTAAACAGAATTAGGGACTTCATAATCGCACAATTTCGAGATCAACAGGCTGCTTTTCGTAAAGATCGATCGTGTACTGACCGAATTGCAACATTATGGAACATTGTGGAACAATCAATTGAATGGAACTCGTCACTCACTATACATCAACTTCATCGACTACGAGAAAGCATTCGATAGCGTGGACAGGACAACACTGTGGAGGCTTCTTAGACACTTCGTCAACATCTTACGGAATTCTTATGATGGATTATGCTGCAAAATCGTGCACGGAGCACTGATGACATCCTCTTTCGAGGTGAAGGCCGGTGTCAAGCAAGGTTGCTTACTCTCATCCTTTCTCTCTCTCCGGGTGATTGACTGGATTATGAAGACATCAAAATCTGGATGGAAGCACGGTTTGCAGTGGATAGTGAGGATGCAGCTGAACGATCTGCACTTCTCAGATGATCTGGATCTACTACCTCACACGCGACAACAAATGCAAGAGAAGACGACCAGTGTAGCAGCAGCCTCTGCAGTAACAGCTCTCAACATACAAAAATGGAAAAGCAAGTTTTTCCGATGAAACACAACATGCACCAACCAAATCACACTTGAAGGATACGCCTTGGAGGATGTAAAAGCCTTTACATATCTAGAAGCATCAATGATGAACAAGGTGGATTTGACGCATATGTGAAGGCGCACATCGGAAAATCAAGGGAAGCCTTTCTATAATTGAAAAAATATCTGGAGCTCAAAATCAGGATTTCTAATACAATCGTCAAGACAGTTCTACTGTATGGAGAGGATACTTGGAGAACTACCAAAGCCATCATCCAGATGATACAAGTATTTATGAACAGTTGTCTACGCAAAATACTTCGGATTCGTTGGCCAGACACTGTCAGCAACAACCTACTGTGGGAGAGAACAAACCATATTCCATCGGTGAAGGAAATCAGGATGCGGTGGAAGTGGATAGGACACACACTGCGAAAAGCACCCAACTGCCTCACAAGACAAGCCTTCACATGGAGCCCTTAAGGTCAAAGGAAAAGACAGTGGCCGAGGAAAACATTACGCTGAGAAATGCAGAAGGACATGAGGAAAATGAACAACAATTAGATATCACATGAGTAATTATTTACTGAAAAACAGATCAAATGGCTTGTCCTCAGGTTAATTTTCAACTGTTAGACAATTTTGTGGGACTTTTATTAACTTACAGCCACAAGGACGGCAAGCATCACTGGAAAGTGAATAAGTAGTCGTAAGGACGGAGTATACAAACTCTTGACAAGTTAATAGCTATCTAGACACTGGAATATAGTTCTGGATTAGAGCCTAAGCACATTTAGTCAAGATATTACAAATCGAGAAAACTTCTGATTCTGGATGCCACTGCTAGTGTATTGGACTAAAATGCCAATACCGAAATGATGATAAAGTTGTTGCAAAAAGTTTAGCGACAACTAATAGGACAAAAGTATTGGTCATTG